AATAGGAACATTTGGCAATTTCGAGTAGTTCATAATTTTATCTATTAACAAATTGTATTACGTAATAATATTGGTTATTAAATCTCGTTTAGATTTGTATCTTGTACACCTGTTATCGGTTATTCACATTTTCCCATCGATAAAACATTGTTCTTAACTAAACTAATTTACATCTGAATAATGATAAATCTTTAGAACTGTCTATGATTTATTAATATTTGCCTTGGCGATGAAATCCTATACATTTTACTTATGGGCCGTTGTTGGCCCTGCCAACTCAGTGACTTAGTAAGACATGAGAAAACTACCGATATAAATATAAAAGTTTGTAATAGATCATCTGAGGCATGTGACAACTGTCTTGGAGGAAAACCAAACTTCAAATAAATTGATTTATACAGTATACAGAGGCAGTTTTTTGGTATAAAATAAAAAAATACAGACTTCACAAAAAAATGTACTTGAAAACGATAGATTAAATACTTATCAGAAATATGCCCCGGTTTTAAACAAAGCTTTCCTATAGTATTTGCTTTCAAAATAACAAAAAAATATAAATTAACTATTTATAAGTAAATTTCCACTAAATAAAAGAATCAGGATAATTTCGATCTGTACAGGTACCTATGTATTGTATTGTAAAAACTGCTTTTTGTTTATTTTTTTTTAGCTTAGAACACGGATATAAAAGATAGGACCTACATACATAAAACATGACAATACTTTTCAAACTGTTTCCTTTCAGGTCTCATATATTAAGAGAGGATAAAACTGTTGAATTTAAAAAAGGCACACTGCGTTTCGTGCTGACTTCCATAATCATCTACTAGGTATACAAAACATTTTGTAACATATATTTTCCTTAGAATAAAATTCAGATTCTTGGTTTTGTTTCCAGTAGAAACGTAATCATTGTTTCACTTTAATATTATATTGAGGAAGCCAACGAAACATAACAAAAAAATTAATTATGTACGTTATTTATTGAGCACCATTGATTAAGGACTTTGTTTAAGCACTTATTATGTTGCGAATAATGACGAACAACCTCGTGCATTTTTTCCATTAAATGACATCCCTTTCGATGTCAAATGTTGGGCCTCCTTTTTACAAAAACTTGAATTTTCGTTCCGTTTTCTTTTTGTATGTTGCTTAAAGACCACCTTCTAGAGATGCTAACATCTTCTGCAATTCCTCTGACTGTCGGTCGACGATTTGCACGGACCAGATCTTTGACTTTTTGAACGTGGGAATCATCAGTCGAGGTCCTTCCTGGTCGAGGATCATCTTCAATTGACTGACGACCACTTAAAATCGTAAAAACCATTCGTAACATTGCATACGACAGAGAATAATCTCCATAAGCTTGATTCAAAAGTTGAAACGTTTCCGTGAAAGCTTTCCCAGCTTCACCCGAAATTTTACGTTGTATCGTTGTTCCAGAAATTCGCACATTTAAAAAATCGCCACTAACACTTCAACATGTGCACTAAAATCACATTATCACGAAAACTAAATGACATTTCAACTTTTCAACAATCCAAGAACAGTGGTTATACAGAGGACTCAGATGAGGTTATGCGCAACGCAATGCTGCCAACCGCATCTCACTAAATATCTCTATTAGCGCGTGTTTCAAAAAGTTAGGAGTGTAAACGTACATAGGTATTGTATTTTTGAAACCGAGTGAGTTGTGCGAAACTAAATATGTACAGGACATAGCTCTAGTACCATGCGAAACATCGCCATAATTTTAAAAATTTTGTCACCGCCGTTCTTGGGGGTGAAAATTCGAAAAATTTAGAATTATTCAAATTTCGTGGCTGAAAAGTGTTAGGTTATTTTCTGAACAGATCTCGTATAAACCGTAGTATTATCCACAAACTTCTCCAAGTACCTCCTGTTTGATGTTCAGTAATCTACACTAAATGGAAAAAGCCTATTAAGCAAATTACCTACTTCTCGAGCTATATCAAGGTGTCATTATTCCGCGTTAAAAGCATGGTTCACACGGTGTAGGTTACGATATTATGGTCACCCTCTAAATATAGCAGCAACTTGCTAAGCTCGCCAAAATTCGTAAAGAAGTCACAGTACGGTTTTACAGGATGTTTTTGTGTACGTTTATTTGCAGTTTTATTTTCGTTTTACGCCCAAAGCGAAAATAAAAAGCCGCTAACGTCGCTAAAGATAATGCGTATCATGAAGCGGTAAACAGAAGGCCCGTAAATTGTCTTTTATTTCATGTTACTGAGTCCGCTTTGATAACAGTTATCTTGAGAAGAAACGTCGAAGAAAAACTTTTTGTAAATTCGATTCGATTTATTAGAGACCTTGGCGAGTACATCGCTCGATTATTTTTATATACCTACTGCATTTATATGGTCATCAAGAGATAAAAATGTCGTTCTTCATAAATGGATGAAATACGCAAGAGATGCATTTAAGGAATACAAAGGGGGCTGTTGTTTTAATGGGATACGATAGTGAGGCGTTTAATTCATTGCAGACATAAAAAAATTGCCTGGAAAATGGCGTTCAAAATATTTCTTAGCAAGATGAAATGTTAACTTCGCCTACATGGTTTGATAACGCTGAGTATGGTATTTACAAGTATTAGGAGTTTTTGTTTCATATTTTCCAGTTTTTCGACCAATAGATTGTTCAAGAAAGCAATAATTATTGAGGTATTGCACTAAAAAAACTTTTTTCCGGAGATATTTCTTTTGATTACTCGATAACCGTAGCTCAAACAATGTTTTGTCTACAGATCTTGGAACTAGAAACTTAAAGCTTGAAAATGTTTTTTTTCTAGTGAAAATTTTAACCCGTACAATCTCCGGGTAGAAATTATTAGCTAGCTGTAAACAAATGAAGCATAATTCAATGTAAATGCCTCCATTATCATCGACAAAATCACGCGTCGCCACATTGACGACACATAACGATAATCGCAATCTCTAATCCGTTTAAAGACGACACACGCGACCATTTGGCGTCATTTCCATAACAACCGCAAACGAGAAAATATGGCGGCTTCCTTTTTCAGCACTAGGTATGTGCGAAATTTTTTAAATCGTCACTGTTAAATTAATTGTATGCTAATAATCCGGTAGGCGTGTGTTGCGCAAATAACATCGATACGCATGTATTTAATATTATCCGCTCGTACAGTTTGTTGCTAATTGTTAAGGTTCTTGTGGGTAGTACCTCTTTGGTTGTATTGATGAGTACTGAGTAACACAGAAGCAATCACCATCGCCTGGCGGTTATTTCGGGAGCTGGACGCTAAGTAGTTGGGAAAATTTTACACTGATACTGTATCTTGGTATGTTAAGTAGCGACGAAGAGGATAGCTTAATTGTTATTTTTAACGGCGTCTCCTACAATCGCGATATTCTTGAACATGAGTATTAATAACCATCGAGGATTCAAACTGATACCTCGTTGGAAAATAAATACGTACTTTATTTTTTGGAGTAAAATGGGGAAGGGGTATTGTTCAAAAATGTGTTTCTTGATGTGATAAAACATAAAAAACATCTTAGATTTTTTTCATTCCTAGACTTATGACAGATTTACAATGGTGATATTACTTTTTGACAATCAACATTGTGGAAACTTTAAATTGTCGGCAGTTGGTGAAAGCGTTACTTATATAATTCGCAACAAGTCATAGATCATTTACAAACGGTCTGTCACGCACAAGGTACACAGGGTGTCCTGGTTTCAAAGCTCAAGTCTGCTCTGTTGTTAAAAATATGATCGATTAAGTCGATTTGCCAATAAGATTGCACGTGTTGTGGTTTGCGATACAAATAGTCAATCAAGCAATGATTCTATTTCAATTTAAAGTCATTGCTTACATCTTAATACTGCGTAAAGATTTTAATAAGTATTTCTGTCTACACCAAATCCTTTGTTTATGTTGTTTATTCCATGTTCATTCAAGCATGTCTTCATTAAATTTGCGCAAGAATTACTGTCGATAGTTGCAAGAAAAAGCTGTATTTTTCTTATTGTTAGTTCGAATAGGACATACATATGAAATAATGTTAAACTTTACGTTTAAAATATGATGGTTTATGAACGAGATCTGAATTTGTTAGCTTGTTAGCAATTTTTTGACGACACCCTCTTTTTGAGCATAAAATATGTTGCAAAGAACTTGACTATTTAAAAATATTTCGCTTCACGGAAATTTTCTGTAGATACTTACCTCCTACCGCTGATGCTTCAAACTCAATAAAATATGACCTATATTACAGCACGTTCTTATTAATAATAATTTACATTAGCATATAAACTTGCGGAATCGCTTTCTTCTGCTTTAAAGCGATGTCCCCATTGAATCAGGAAATAGATATTTATTTCGATATCGGTGTTGTACATGCGGCGCTTTCTTTCTTTACTTATTAATATTGAAACGTCTGTGACATATTTTTTAATGAATATTATCTGTGTATACACACGTAGGTACTTCGGAGGGCTGTTTTCAAATTTAACCTCAAATTGTACATAGTACAAAACATAACAGAACGAATTATTGAAGAAAAATGATAGATCTCAAACAAATCAGAAATTTATTTATATGGATCAAATTGAACAAGCGTTGAAACATTGAAATACACCCGTAATATCTACAAATTAACTAAGATCGTTTCGAACCTTTTAAAATACGTAAAAGTCTCTCGAAGGTTATTCGCCATGTTTTTGGAATAGAACGGAACTTCCAAGATTGAGGTAATTAAAAGGGCCTTTCGATTTGGCAAAAATAGTAGCTATTAGTAGCTAATAGCAACTTGGAGTTACTCTGAACTGATATTAGTTGCTAATAGGTACTATTTTTGCCAAAACGAAAGCCTCCAAGGTTAAGTATTAACTTTCTGCTCAACTTTGAAAATTCGGTTTTCAGTGGTGATGAGACAGAACTAGCGCGGCTCTCAAATTTTGTTTATCAAAAAACGGGAAATTATTGAATATCCTCTTTTTTTTTTCAGAGAACGAAACCTCCACGCCATCACCCCTGGCCGGATCAGGCCCGGGCGGCCACAAGGCATCCTTCAAGAGCACGAAACTCGCCCGGCGCGCCCGCTCCTTCAAGGACGACTTTTTGGGAAAGATATCGCAGATGCGGAGTCCTACCGGTCCGGGGCTGCGCTCGCACAGCCCCAAGGGCAGCCAGTCGCCTAAGCCCGACATGGTGGACCACGCCTACATCACCAGCAAGGGCCCCATCCAGGAGCTGGACGACTTCTGGAAGCAGATACAGATCGCACTCAAACACTTCAGGTAGGTGGCTGTTAATAATCAACTAATAAAATCGTTGATGTACGTTTGAAATACCTAGGGGCTCAAATTTGAGCCCTGAGGTACAATTTAATACATAAAAAGCAAGTGTTCGAAAGGGGAAAAGGTATCATCCAGTATTAGCTTTGTTTTTATAATTATAATAATTTAATAATTTGGGAAAATGGAACTAATTGTTAAAATTGTGGTGAAAATAGCAAAGAAATAAAAATTAATTAATAACAAATTTAGTGTAACCAGAACAATTAAATGTATTATCATTTATTTCATCTCTTCAGAGTTAAAAAACCATGGAATTAGACAAAAGTTCCATAACAGTCATGGTGCTCAGGAATAAAAACCACTTGCGGCTTATAAACGAAAGGATGAACATTTTGAAATTAATTTTTAGTATGATTGTTACGTTATTTTTAATTTGTTTCATTTAATGTTTTTATTGTTATTTTTTCACATTAATTATATTTTAGCATTGCAAAATTTTTCCGAATCACTGAATTTTTAAATCAAATATTTAAATAGATTAAGATTGTGTTATGAAACTAGATTTAATTTGAAGTTATTTATTTCGACTTAGGATAATTATAAAAACAGATTTAACAGTGGACGACAAAACAATTATTAGAAATTTCAAAAGAAAATAAATAATTGAATACTTGGTTAAAAACAAAAAAAAGCTCCCCAATGAATCACTTAAATATAAGGTCTTACAGTTAAAATGTAATACAAAATATTTGAAATTTGTAAAGTTGGTATGTCTGTAGAAAATGCCCTGTATAATAATGTATGATTGTTGATTCATGTTGTTGATTATTCTGTCTCTCATGATATCAAATACTTTGGTTCTAACTTTAATTATTTGTAAATTATTACCATTTTTCACAGATCATGTTTATCACAGAATTTAAGAAATTTTCTATATAATTATCAAATTATTATAAACTATCTGACCCGACAGACTGACCTGTCCAAGGGACAAAACAAAAAAGAATCAACCAAATATGTCGTTCCTATCGTCAATTATGATCGAGAGTGTATACAAAACTACGATTTTTACATTTTCCGAATTTTCAGACTTTCGTTTGTAATTGTCTCCATTTTTTTTCCTGAAAACTTCTTCAAGACCGTAACAAACAAAACAAAAGTACATACAAATATCCCATAGAAAAAAAACACTTTCAGTTTTTCCAGAATTTTCCAATCTTCCTGGTAACTTTCCCAATATTTCTTTCTCTAAAAACCTTATTTGACCTATTACGAACATTAAAAAAATATATTAGCCAAATCGGTCCAGCCGTTGTCAAGTGATGCGCTTACCAACAAACAAGATTTAATTTTTATTTATGTAAGCAGATATTTAAAAATATGTAGGATGTTCTATTTAACGTGCACCATTTCATACATCACCCTATATATTTAAAAATAAAATCTCTGGTCTCCTCTAACTTTTGTTTTATTTTTTTTTTGTATTTCAAATAATAATGTAGCTCTTGTAGTTTACTACATTAATAGGGCACCCAGTATCTGATCATTTTTAATAATTTTGCTTTTAGTATATATTTGTACATTTTTATTTGTTTTACTTTTTGTTTATTTTTATGTATTTGTTGTATATTTATTATACTTTCGTAGCAGATTTCATTCCAAAAAAGTAGCCACAATGCTCACACTATCCTTTTCCGTTCCAGAGATGTCGTTTCGAAACAGAAACTGGAAATGCTGCCGGGCAACGGCACTATCGTGTTGGACACGGTCTGGGCCATAAACCTATCGGTGAAGTCGTCGGTATCCGCGGACAGCTCCAGCAGTATTAAGTCGGCGATATGTCGCATGTACCAGAGCGTGGCGCGGTTGATAAAGCTGTGCGATGATGTCCTGATAGATGATAAAAGCGACGAGTTGGACAAGGAGAACGTGAACGAAATCGTGGCGCAAGTCGAGGATGCTGTCAAGGTACGTTCACGTTTGAAGTTGATTTTTTTAACTACCTGAAATTTATCTGTTTTTAGTTACTCTTAGTTCTGCGAATGTTTTATAGTTTTTCGAGCACGGATTTTCAATTTTTTTTACAGTGATAGAGAAAAAATTGAAATTATGCGTTATATTATAATCCTGTATTACTTAACAAAATATATTAATTGTTTTTGCAGATTTTGGCATGCAGCCCAAATTAATTTCCTTTTATTTGATAAGGAGGTACGCTTAAGCAGTCAGATCTTATCGTAAAGTACATACACAATAAATATTAGTCTAGGGTCGAGATAACGATGCAATAAAAATTTGCGCATGCGTACTCGTTATTTAATCTAAAAATAATGTTATTACTGTCTAAATTTGTATCGCAAAGTATACAATAAATTGTTAATGAAAAGATAAATGAATCTAATATGTACAGGATGTTTTGAGAGTTTCATTGAAATCATTTTATATCCAATAGCGTAAATGTGCAGAATACGAGTCAAATTTGTCACAAAAAATTGTTTTTGGTGCTAAAATCATCTAATTTTGTAAAACTTTTTCATTAATTTCATTCGAGGGACGTAAAGTANCTTTCGGAATTAGCAGAGACAATTAGTTTTGATTTTATTAAATCCAACAAGGCTTTATTTCTTTCATCCCGCCACTTAATATTCATTAAAGAAGCACAGAAGTGGCAGAAATGCTTAGAGCAAAATAAATCAGAATGAATACATTTTCGAGCCCCGTTATATTTTGAAAAATGAATGACCATTTTTTACTAGTTTTGTAACCATGCCAAGTTGAAAATGGTAGATCGCTGTTGTCTGTTGTGATCAATCAACGTTGCCAGGTTGTGCGCCAATAAACAAAATCTTAATTTTTTTCGTATTTTTGGAATTTTAGAACATTTTAATGTAAAGGAGGACAAATTGCGTCCTCCGATGTACCTATGGAGGACGGTTGGCAACCCTAATCTGACCCGACAGACTGACCTGTCCAAATTTCAATAAACTTGTTTATGATCATTTTGTGAATTTGTGAAAAACTATTGGAAATCTGTAAACAAAGTAAAAATGAGGTAAAAAAAACGTATTTCTGAGTAATCATTGTATCTATTAATGATTGTGGTCATCGATGTTCAATTTGAGGAGGAGTGCGTTTTTCCAGATTTTTCACCATATCTTTCAGATTTCTTTTTTTAATTGAAAACATTCAATCGAGTTATTTCCATCCCGAAAGCATAAGGAACAAAACAAAAAAGAATCAACCAAAAATGTCGTTGCTATCATCAGTAGTTATGATCGAGAGTGTATACAAACTACGATTTTTGCATTTTTCTGAATTTTCAGACTTTTGTTTATAATTGTCTCCATTTTTTTTCCTGGAAACTTCTTCAGGACCGTAACAAATAAAACAAAAGTACATACAAATATCCTATAGAAAAACACACTTTCAGTTTTTCCAGAATTTTCCAATCTGGTAACTTTCCCAATATTTCTTTCTCTAAGAACCTTATTTGAACTATTACGAACATTAAAAAAAAGATTAGCCAAATCGGTCCAGCCGTTGTCAAGTGATGCGCTTACCAACAAACAAGATTTAATTTTTATTTATGTAAGCAGATATTTAAAAATATGTAGGATGTTCTATTTAACGTGCACCATTTCATACATCACCCTATATATTTAAAAATAAAATCTCTGGTCTCCTCTAACTTTTGTTTTATTTTTTTTTTGTATTTCAAATAATAATGTAGCTCTTGTAGTTTACTACATTAATAGGGCACCCAGTATCTGATCATTTTTAATAATTTTGCTTTTAGTATATATTTGTACATTTTTATTTGTCTTACTTTGTTATAATTTTTGTTTATTTTTATGTTTTTGTCCTACATTTATTATACTTTCGTAGCAGATTTCATTCCAAATAGTAGCCACAATGCTCACACTATCCTTTTTCGTTCCAGAGATGTCGTTTCGAAACAGAAACTGGAAATGCTGCCGGGCAACGGCACTATCGTGTTGGACACGGTCTGGGCCATAAACCTATCGGTGAAGTCGTCGGTATCCGCGGACAGCTCCAGCAGTATTAAGTCGGCGATATGTCGCATGTACCAGAGCGTGGCGCGGTTGATAAAGCTGTGCGATGATGTCCTGATAGATGATAAAAGCGACGAGTTGGACAAGGAGAACGTGAACGAAATCGTGGCGCAAGTCGAGGATGCTGTCAAGGTACGTTCACGTTTGAAGTTGATTTTTTTAACGACCTGAAATTTATCTGTTTTTAGTTACTCTTAGTTCTGCGAATGTTTTATAGTTTTTCGAGCACGGATTTTCAATTTTTTTTACAGTGATAGAGAAAAAATTGAAATTATGCGTTATATTATAATCCTGTATATTTAACAAAATATATTAATTGTTTTTGCGGATTTTGGCATGCAGCCCAAATTAATTGCCTTTTATTTGATAAGGAGGTACGCTTAAGCAGTCAGATCTTATCGTAAAGTACATACACAATAAATATTAGTCTAGGGTCGAGATAACGATGCAATAAAAATTTGCGCATGCGTACTCGTTATTTAATCTAAAAATAATATTATTACTGTCTAAATTTGTATCGCAAAGTATACAATAAATTGTTAATGAAAAGATAAATGAATCTAATATGTACAGGATGTTTTGAGAGTTTCATTGAAATAATTTTATATCCAATAGCGTAAATGTGCAGAATAAGAGTCAAATTTGTCACAAAAAATTGTTTAATTAATTTCATTCGAGGGACGTAAAGTACTGATTTCAATTTTAAAAAGGCCTTCTTTTCCTGTCACTGATTTTCCTTAGCAAACACTATTTGTCTCATTAGTCCAACCAAATTACATTTGGAGAAAAAAAAATGTTACCTGGACTTTTATAAGTGGAAATAGTAAAAGGGCTTATAATAAGCCTTAAAAAAAATAAATGTGTGAGCAGGGGTGGCGGAGGGTTGATTTGGGGGGGTTGAAAAGTTGTGAAAAATTGTATCATTGTATCATTGTAATCATTGGGATTTCTGGCGAAAGTTGACGTCAAACAAAAAAGTATCCAATACAAAAGTTGTAGACCATGCAAAAATCTACAGCTTTTGTAGAGGTCACTTTTTAGGATACCCTCAAAATTTCCGAGAAAAATGCGAAAAACAGGATTTTTCGTTTTTTATTTCTCATTTCCGCAAAAATAATTTAATTTTGACGAAACTTGGTGAAAGTATACCTTTCTGTGTCATAAATAACCGCAAATTTTTTTAGATAAAGACATTGAGAATTTTCCGAGATACTAATTTTTTCCAGTCTAAAACACTTTTTCTTCAAAGAAAAATTCTACTTAGAAATATCATCGTACAGGGTTCTGCCGGTAATCATATTTTTCGTTTTGACATATACTTTTTGGTGAAATAAAAAAATTTGTAATCACACTTCAATAACATGCTCAAAAATGCAAAAAAAAATAAAAAATGACGCAACAATGGATTTTTCAGTAATTGTTGATAATTTGTTTAAATTTAAAAAAAAATCAAAAACTGATTACGCCATTCAATTCTACGGAAAAAAATACAAATTTTATTTATTCACTATTCGACTTTTGTTTATAGCAATACTGTACAAAAATAAAGTTTTGGGTCAAACAATGAGACAGTTTTTTTTGTATTTTTTCCATACAATTGAATGGTGTAGTCAGTTTTTGAATTTTTTTAAATTTAAACAAATTATCAACAATTACTGAAAAATTTATAGTTGCAAGTCATTTTTAATTTTTTTACATTTTTGAGCATATTTTTGAACTGTGATTACAGATTTTTTAATTTCACTAAAAAGTATATGTCAAAACGAAAAAAATTATCACTGGCAGAACTCGGTACGATGATTTTCCTAAGTAGAATTTTTCTTTGAAAAAAAAGTGTTTCAGATCGAAAAAATGAATATCTCGGAAACTTCTTGATTTTTTTATCTAAAAAAATTTGCGCTTATTTAAGACACAGAAAGGTATACTTTCACCAAGTTTCGTTAAAATTAAATTATTTTTGTGGAAATGATAAATAAAAAAACGAAAAATAAGAGAAAAAACGGTTTTTCACATTTATCTCGAAAATTTTGAGGTTACCTTAAAAAGTCACCACTACAAAAGTTGTAGATTTTTGCACGATGTACAACTTTTGTAGAGGTGACTTTTTTGTTTGACGTCAACTTTTGCCAGAAATCCCAATGATACAATTTTTCAACCCCACAAATCAACCCTTCGCCACCCCTGCTCGAGCATTTATTTTTTTTTTCGTTTATTATAAGCCTCTTTACCATTTTCACTTATAAAAGTCCAGGTAACATTTGTTTTTCCTCCCTCTAAATGAATTATTTCGACCGGTCTACATGTTTCTGATGTTTCTCGAACTGTTTATTTTTCAAACGCACTATTTTTATTACCAATTTATGAAAGTTAAAAAGTAGCCTTGCCTATTTCGGATAGTATTTTGAGCCTTTATAGTGTCAGGCCATTTCTTATGGTTAAATAAATGTACAATTCCAGCATATAATGATGCAATTTGAATTCATTTTACATATCAAATTTTTTTTTGCAGTTATTTATAAATACTTGTTACGAAACTTTTGTATAATTACAGGTATATCTCATTTCATATCTCCATTGAGACATTTTAATTTCAATGTTTCCACTGAAAAATATTTGTATTTAGATGAAATATCTAATCGGTTATTGTATATCCTCCAACCTTGCATTGAATAGAATTTCTCAAGAATCTTAATCTTGAAACTTTGAAAACATAAAAAAGGAAAGGGATAACTAATAATTTTCAAAAATATATTCTAAAATCTTTGATTTAAAAATAAGAATAGTTGCAACAATAATTTCCCTTTCATTTACTGTTTTTCTATGCTTATTTTTGATTAAAATAAGTAAAAAATTTTGGGGATCATAGTGACATAACCTACAAAGTAAATGTCAAACCTTAAATGTCATTGTTACTCAGTGCCTACTGGCATGAAGCATTGTTTTGTACCTACTGACGAAGTGACCTACTAATCTGTGTTTTGAAAATTAAGCTATTTCCGACATAATTTCACAGAAACTTTTCCATTTTAAATGACAAGTATATTTTCCATGTCTTTTTGCCATTTAATTCAGTTGTTTTTTCAACGTTTGACGATACGTACGTTATTCCAGGATCTCATAAACCTAGCTCAAGAAAAAATCTCGCACCAGCAAATAACCTACAAGACAACGCCCAGGTCGACGTACGGCAACAGCAGCTTGGAGATGCCGGCGCAACGAAACTCCCTCCCCGACATACCGCTCACGCCCAGGGAGAGACAGATCCTGGAACAGACGTCGTGCGTGACCCCCTCGATGGTGCGCAGCAGCCACAGCACCGAGTCCATCCTGAGGGATTCTAGTCCGCCTCCGAAACCGCCGTTGCCGGAGAACGTGTGTCGGTCGGATCCCAGCAGCTGCGTCACCCCCCCACCCTTGCCGCCTAAGAAGAAGAGCTTCAGGGCGCATCCGTTCATGGACGAGGGGTTCAGTGTGGACCATTCGCCGATAGCTAGTAGTTTAGAAAGGTGAGGGCGGCGAAGTAGTTCAAATGTAGAATGTCTGCGTGAAAATGTTTATCGCCTCTGTCCCTTTGCCATTCTCAACTGAAAGTATTATTTTGTACCTACTGGCAAAGAGTGACCTGCATATAGCTCACGTAATATTGTTTTTAATGGAATTTATATTTTTGTAGGGTCTCGATGCGGTCAAAATCCCCAGAGGACTCAATATCCTTGCTTTCGGAGAGCGCCGGTAGCGTAGACTCCATGTTAAACCACTCGTCGAGGGAGGAGGACGAAATCAAGGCTCTAATGGACGGCGATTCCGACATGATGCTCGACAACCACACCACGGACATTTTCGGTGAGTATCTCGTCCGTTCCGACCGCGTTCTAGCTTGGATTAATTCATTAACACCCCGCTGACTTTCCTTTGGAGTGCGTTTTTGAAATTAATGCTAATTTAGGGGCGAACGGCTCGAATTCCTGGGAGGAATCCTCGTTGAGTTCTAGCATATCGAACAGCAACAACGAGAGGCACACGTCCGTCAACGACTACCACCGTTTGTCCAACACCGATTCAGGTATCCTCTCGATCCGTTCGAACTACTCGAAACGGAGCTCCCAGCAGAGCTCGATCAGTACGCAGTTCACGCATCACATGTCCAAGCACTCCTCGAATGTATCGGAGATGGCGCAGTCCGAGAGCCTGCTACAGAACCTGCACAGGAGTTTCGAGAACCAGTTGTCGTTCAAGAATTTCAGCCACAGCTCGAGCAGCAGCAGTTCCGTCGTCATGGTCGCGAACGCCGGCCTGGGCAGGGACGAGCTGGATTTCTCGAACGAGGAGATCCCGCCCGCCATCCCGCAGAAGACTAAAAGAAAGACTGATAGGCAGCCCTCGCCTTACGATAATGTACCTGATGAGAAGTTAGGTGGGTGGCGTGCATGCCGTTTTATTAACCTCGAGATTGCAGCGTTTATTTTTCGTCTGTATAGGGTGATGAAACTTCGATGAGAACGTAAAAGTTACATAAAAATACCCGGTATGGCAGCTGTAATACTTGTTTTGACATATTTTTTCGCTGCGTCTCAACAAAATCGTTTCAAAAACTGCTCCGTCGCTGTGTGAGCAGCTTTTCCATCGAATTCGACTCACTCTGTACACGCGTGGTATCTAATTTAAGTTCAGTTTTGATTTTTTTTTGTGCGCAGGCGAATTACTGATAACCTGTGAGAGACACCAGTCGCACCAAAGCTTGTCGAGCAGCACAAGCATTGCCAGTACCCTCGAACAAGACGGCTGCAGACCGCCGCCGTTGCCGCCCAAGAAAAAGCACAGTAAGTACTTTTTTTAATATAATCGTTAGAGAATTGTACATATGTATGTGTTCCTAGAATTAGAAAACTAAATTAACGGGTGTTTTGGAAATATGTTTAAACATACTGTAAATGAAATAATATTTGTTGGGTTTTAGTCGTAGTTTTTTGAAATATATCCGGCTTCGAAGGACCAAAATTCAAGTACGATCTAAAGAAAACATTGAATATTCAAATTTTTGTGTGAGAAATCGTGGATAGTGGCATAACCGATTTTTCACTGTATTAGTTATTGCAAAAAAACGGCTAAAAATCGCATTTTTTTTCAAACTTCTACATCTTTACAACGAAAAAATATTTTTTACGAAAATTTAAGAATATGTAGTCGAAATAAGATTTGATGGGTTTTAGTCTAGTTTTTTTAAATATATCCGGCTTCGAAGGACCAAAATTCAAGTACGATCTAGAGAAAACATTGAATATTCAAATTTTTGTGTGGGAAATCATGGATAGTATTGCTTGTATTCGAGGAAATAAGATTTGATGGGTTTTAGTCTAGTTTTTTGAAATATATCCGGCTTCGAAGGACCAAAATTCAAGTACGATCTAAAGAAAACATTGAATATTCAAATTTTTGTGTGGGAAATCATGGATAGTAGCATAACCGATTTTTCACTGTATTAGTTATTGCAAAAAAACGGCTAAAAATCGCATTTTTTTTTCAAACTTCTATATCTACAAAAAAAAAAAATTTTACGAAAATTTCAGAATATGTAGTCGAAATAAGATTTGATGGGTTTTAGTCTAGTTTTTTTAAATATATCCGTCTTCGAAGGATCAAAATTCAAGTACGATCTATAGAAAACATTGAATATTCAAATTTTTGTGTGGGAAATCGTGGATACCATTGTTTATATTCGAGGAAATAAGATTTGATGGGTTTTAATCTAGTTTTTTGAAATATATCCGACTTCGAAGGACCAAATTGAAGTGCGATTTATAGAAAACATTGAATATTCAATTTTTTTTGTGGGAAATCGTGGATGGTTCTTATATTCGGGGAAATATCGTTGTGTGTGTACCTGCAAATTTGATCGTGTGTAAGTGTATATCCAAAACATCCGACGAAAAAAGTGCTCTGGAAATGAAAGTCCCGTCGAAGTAAATGTGTTTGTTCGAAAATAACAACCGATTAAACGTTCTGTCTCTTCATTTCGACATCTTCAGATATTTCGTTAAAACGATTTGATTCTTTCNGAAAACATTGAATATTCAAATTTTTGTGTGGGAAATCGTGGATAGTATTGCTTGTATTCGAGGAAATAAGATTTGATGGATTTTAGTCTAGTTTTTTGAAATATATCCGGCTTCAAAGGACCAAAATTCAAGTACGATTTATAGAAAACATTGAATATTCAAATTTTTGTGTGGGAAATCGTGGATGGTATTGTCGACATTAATTTTTCTTATATTCGGGGAAATATCGTTGTGTGTGTACGTGTAAATTTGATCGTGTAAGTGTATATCCAAAACATCCGACGAAAAAAGTGCTCTGGAAATGAAAGTCCCGTCGAAGTAAATGTGTTTGTTCGAAAATAACAACCGATTAAACGTTCTGTCTCTTCATTTCGACATCTTCAGATATTTTGTTAAAACTATTTGATTCTTTCAAGCGATAAACATATAAATATAAAAAAATAAATCCTAAACTCGTATTCTGTGCTAAATTGAACACTTTTACGGGGTTCTCTCGAATTTTCCGAAGAGACAGAAAATATAGACATATAGATTTTATCGAGAACTATACTGAAGATGTCTTGATGTAGACGAAACGTTGAGGTTTTAGAATTTTGTATGTGAAAAGGTGCTCAACGTAACTAAGAACTGACGTCGTGAAATTTTTAGAGCACTCTTCAAGGGCCAGTAATCGTGTTTAATATTGACGTTTTTTCCTAGTGTTCCAATCGGTGGCTTACTCGGGTAAGTGAGCCGCTACATTTATGGCGAGATAGGAAGATTTCGGACCCTCCTTTTGTTTTTTTTGCTCGTCTAACATCGTTTCGTTTTGCCTCCCGTTTGCCGCTTTGTGTGTAAATGCAACTTGCAACATCTCTTTATTTTCTCCCACGGTGTCCCCTTAGCAGCAACGTTGTAGTTAATTTTATGGTTTTTGTTACTTAATGCGTTTTACTCCTTAATTAAACGTTAGATAACGAAGATACACAAGCAAACACCCAGTTAGATAACTTTAATCAAACTGCAAACATTTTATATAATTAACAAAGTTTTTTAGCTAATCTTTAACGGTGTGATTTTACTTTAGTTCCAGCTTTTACCTGTTTGAGTTTCATTCCGTTCGGTCTATGAAAAAAAGGAACTTTTTATTTTGCTCGGGAACGACGTATAGAATCTGTTTTGCGTACATTTCTATACTGTTCAACCCGTTGAGGTAGCCGCTGCAAAATAAAGGTGTTCCGTTTGATTCGGTCTCTGCGAAAGCGTTTTTTCAACGTTACCGTCAATTTCTAGTTATGGCGTACATGGAGATGTTCGGGAATTGTTCGCACACCAACGACCAGGAGTTCATGAGGCACTCGGTGCACATGGTGCAGTCCCAGTGGGCGCAACCGCTCGCCTCGGGTCTACCCACCACCCAGTCGTGCTCTTTCAGTCACTCTTCGCACAGTTCGAGATCGTCGCACACTCACATACAGACCCTCGCCCTGCCGCCACATTCCAGTTTAGACCAAAGGTAAAACGTTGGATCACATTTCGTCCGTAATCGTTACAACGTTTTCCCTATTTTGCAGAATACCGTCGCCCTTGCATTCCCCCAACTCCATCATTTCTTCTTCATCTTCAAACTCCAGCGTCCCGCCGGCCTTACCGCCGAAACAGAGGTCGAGAAAGTCCTCGGCTAAATCGCCTCCGCCCACGCCTACCGGGCCGGTTATAACGGAAGTGAAACCGTCATCGCCCGTCATCAAGGCACTGCCCGATCTGTTGGAGCACACCGCCCTGCCTAAGAACGAGGAGAAGTCGGACGGCGGCGACATTAGTCCGTCTTGCGAGGAAGACTTGATGGAGATGCTGAGCGTCGATCAGTTTCTGCTGTTGAAGAAGCCCGAGGAGGACGGGCCCGATATCAGGGGCGGGCCCATAGATGCGCTCATCATACAGGCCACTAAGGCTACGAAGAATGGAGGTAGGTTGTGATCTTTTCGTAACGTTGTTTTTTGTAGCGTTCTGGCCGACTTAACTTGAAAGGTGTGGAGAAAGTAATTTTTTAAATATTTATTATATTTTAATATAAAAAATTATGCTTTTGTCATTTATTATTTAAAATTTTAAATGAAATTTGAGTTTTTACGTATTTCTCCAAAATATTTTTAGTAGTCGGGAAAGATTAAAATGCTGTTTTATTATTTGTCTACAAAAATTTTTAAATATTGTGCCATTTTATCAATTTTTATGTTGATATTTCTCTTTTTATCATTTATGAACGATAAATGTTTAAAATTTCAGGAATTTTTATTAGAACTACATTCTAACAGGGCTCTATAGCAAATAGGCAACCAGCAATACATTTTTTTATAGATTTTACTACTCAGTTTGTCTAAATACGAATCAATGTGCAAATAACAGACTTTCCTCCATTCTAACGCAGATTTTCTATGAAATGGACTTAGTTTGAAATTCAAGTTACTTTTCGTCGTAAAGAAATTTGTAATTTGCATCGTAAATTACAAATTTCTTTACACCAAGAAGTAATTTGAGTTTGAAACTAACTCCATTTCATAGAAAATTTGCGCTAGAATGGAGGAAAGTCTCTTATTTGTGCATTAATTCATATTTACACAAACTGTGTAGTAAAATCTAAAAAAAATGTATTGCTGGTTGCCTATTTGCTATAGAGCCCTCTTAAAATTATGTTAAGAAAATGACTCAAATTTATATGTATATGTATATGTCGTGTTTCAACATTATTTCCTGTATTAATTGAAATTTTTTGGCGCAAAACGCAGAAGAGAAGGAGAACGGTATGTAATGGGTTTAGAGATACCACTCAGAGTTAGATTTTGATTTCACAACAGACACAACTTAAGGGAATCGACACTTATTTTCCCCCCTTACACCGTCACCGACTTTATTTTAAAATCGTTTACTTCACACAACCTCCCCGACCGGATCCCTAGGATCCCACACTGTTTCTTCTCAGTTCCCCCTATCTCTCTCTTTTCTATCTCCAAACGACTTAGACGTATACAAAATCGATCACGCGCGTTTTATTTTCAGTATTCATGTACCAAGAGGCGTTCCTGACCACCTACAGGACGTTCATATCTCCCTACGAGCTCATCACCAAGCTCATCCGGCGGTACAATCACTTCTACTACCAACCGGATAAGAAACCGAGGTCCCGAGAGGCGTTCGCCTTGATCGTTCGTGTCGTTAGCGACCTCACGTAAGTAACCGCGTGACGTTTACGATTTTTTTTATCGCCCGCTGCTTTTGCAGTAGCTTAGACCTGGACGAGGAACTGCAGCTGAAACTCATGAACTTCGTACAGCAGCTGATATCGTGCGGGGAACTCACCTTGGCCAAGGCGCTCAGGGTGAAGCACCTGCAGCGTCACGAGGCCAAGCAGATGTCCATGAAGTACACCAACATCGTGACCAGTCTTTCACTGAGCGCGAGGAACTTCACGTTGTTGGATTTTAAGTCGGAACAGATAGCCGAGCAGATGACGTTGCTCGACGCGGAGCTCTTTATGAAGATCGAGATACCCGAGGTGCTGATATGGGCGCAGGAGCAGAACGAGGAGAGGAGCCCCAACCTGACGAGGTTCACGGAGCACTTCAATAAGATGTCGTATTGGTAAGAGTTTTGGGTTTAGGGGAGGTTTAGTCGATGAGTTTTTCGTGTTACACGAAATTTTTTATATGGAACAGGAAGAAAGACATTTTTTTTTAGATGAACCGTCAGAAATTTGAAATATTCATTCATCTCTATTTAGTTCAATCAACAGGTGGAAGAGCTTACAAAAAATACCGCCTGGAAACGAAAAATATGGTGATATAGGAAAAAAAATTCTAAGAAAGATCGTGTATTTTTTCTGTTACGCATAAACGGCGAAGTTAACCTAAAAAATTCATAAAAGTGAAAAAAACGGTTTTTCGCTGATAAAAAAAAACTTGGACTACAATCGAAAAAAGTTAAATGAGAAAGTTGTAGCTCTTAAAAAAATCTATCGATTCATGTTTTTAAATATATCGATTGCTATATTACTTTCCGAGATATATCGAAAAAACCGTAAAAAGTCGACTTTTTTTGTTTTTGCTGTATTTCTTGCAAATTAAGGTTTTGAAACTCGTTACTTGCTGTAAATGTAGCCCTCGGCAAGCAAAAAAGTACCTTGTTTTAAAATTAAAAAATATTAAACATTTTTCGAGTTATATCGATTTTTCGAAAAAAAGGTCATCTCGAAAATCGGCTCTCCTTGCTTGACGAATAGTCGTAGAGAAACGAATCAGGGTTCATTTTTTTCCTTAAGAGTTGTACTTTCAAGGTAAAAAAGAGCGATAACGATTTTATTCATTTCATGTGTCCAAAGGTGGTTTAGAAAAAAGTAAAAATTTTTTGGTTGCGTTTTTCTTGAATATCTTTTTCGATTTTCATTTCTCAATAATGTCTATTACAGGAATCGATTGCTTGCATTTTGACGCGAATTTTTATTTTAAAAATGTTGCTCTGCGACCTTCTGGAGCAGCTATTTAAGTGCTACAACATCAATTCTTACTGAGATTGAAGTTGAAGACTTATATTTTCAATACAAACATACTGTGGTTTATTTTAGCCACACATTTTTAATTGTGCGTCAATCCGAAGCATTCGAACATTCTAACTGTAGCGGGCGGCGGAGTGGGGGTAACGCTACTCGGTCACTCCGAAAACTGAATTCGAGCATTCAAAAGCGCTCTTACTTTCAAAATCTTCTAAGATAATTATGCTTTTAAGGCTGTCGTAAACATCATATTTTGGTTTATCTCGTCGAGCTACTCCAAATTAAATACAAAAGAATTTTTGTATATGGTCCGGAAGTCGAGATAATGAAGATTTTGAAAGTAAGAGCGCTTTTGAACGCGCGAATTCAGTTTTCGCGCTCAATTGCTTCGGTTTTATGCACAATTAAAAGTGAACCACAGTATTTTTTTATTGAAAATATGTCTTCAACTTCAACCTCGGTAAGAATGGACATAGCGGTCTGTGGAATTTTTTGAAAAAAAAAATTATCGACCCCAGAAGGTCGTAGAGCAACGTTTTTCTTTTAAATTCTTGTAAAAATATCAGCAATCGATTCTTGTAATAGACATTATCGAGAAATGAAAATCGAAAAAGATATTCAAGAAAACGCGAGTAAAAAATTTTTTCTTTTTTCAAAATCGTCTTTGGACACTTGAAATGAATAAAATCGTTGTCACTCTTTTTTACCATCAAAGTACAACTCTTAAGAAAAAAAAATGTGTCCTGATTTGTTTCTCTGCGACTATTCGTCGAGCAAGAAGAGCCGATTTTCGAGATAACCTTTTTTTTCGAAAAATCGTTACAGCTCGTAAAATTTTTAATATTTTTTAATTTTAAAAAAAGGTACTTTTTTGCTTGCCGAAGGCTACATTTACAGCGGGTAACGAGTTTCAAAACCTTAATTTGCAAGAGATACAGCAAAAACAAAAAAGTCTATTTTTGAAGGTTTTTTCGATATATCTCGAAAAGTAATATAACAACCGAAACAAAAACATGAATGGATATGTTTGTTTAATAGCTACAACTTTCTCATTTAACTTTTTTCGATTTCAGTTAGTTTTTTTCTTAATAGCGAAAAACGTTTTTTTTTTACTTTTATGAATTTTTTATATTAACTTTGCCGTTTATGCGCCACAGGAAAAATACACTATTTTGCTTAGAATTTTTTTCCTATATCATCATATTTTTTGTTTCCAGGTGGTATTTTTTGTAAATTTAACATAAGGCCGTGACAGATTGATTGGACTAATTTTTTATCAACAAAACTGCGATAAATGCTGCCTTTAAAGTAATTTTCTTTTAAAGTAAAAGCATCTAAAACTCCGTTACTTTTACTCCCACATTTGTTACGTAAACGAACGATTTTAGGGCGAGGACGAAGATCCTCACGGCCGAAGGCAAGGACATCAGGGAGAAGTACTTCATGAAGTTCATAAAAATCATGAAACACCTCAGGAAAATCAACAACTTCAACTCGTACCTGGCCCTGCTGTCCGCCTTGGATTCCGCCCCGGTGCGACGGCTGGAATGGCAGAAGCACGTTCAGGAGGGCCTGAAGGAGTACTGCGCCCTGATCGACAGCTCGTCCAGCTTCAGGGCCTACAGGATGGCGCTGGCCGAGACCCAACCCCCTTGCATCCCCTACATGTAAGTCGGTAAGCCTCGCGATTTGTTCCTCGGTATATTTTCGTCTGGATCTTTTGCAGCGGTTTGGTTCTGCAAGATTTGACGTTCGTTCACATAGGGAATAGCAACCTGTTGCCCAACGGTGCTATAAACTTCTCGAAACGGTGGCAGCAGTTCAACATCGTCGAGAATATGAAGAAGTTTAAGAAAGCGTGAGTAATTTTTTTTTTTTTTGATGTGTCGTACCTCTAATATTAATAATAATTCATGTCGTGGTATTCTTTGGAAGATGTCGTGTTTGCACCTCAACAATCATTTTTTGGGAAAATTGGGAAAAATTCACCCCAGCTGAACGTTTTCCCCGTTTTGATATATTTTTTAGAAATCCGCCATTAATTCTGAATAAAATTGGTCTCTGCATTTTTTTTCGTAAGATACACCGTTTTCGAGGAAAAAAATTAAACATATTTTATTGTAGTACGCAGAGCGCAAATGGCTCCATCTGTCGTGCTGACTCCCAACTGCGCCATTCAAATGACGACAGTAGGAAGCGACTTGCTACATCGCTAAGTACTTTGTAGCGACTGCCGCCTACAGAGGGCGAAACACACTGTTTTTAATTGCCAGTGTTGCGAGAAACAACTACTCCGCGGACTACATGCCCCGACCGGCATTGAATTATACTCGCAACACCTAGTGCAACAGACGAACGATCCTAGCTGTTGCACTAGGTGTTGCGAGTGTAATTCAGTGCCGGTCGGGGCATGTAGTCCGCGGAGTAGTTGTTTCTCGCAACACTGGCAATTAAAAAAAAATATTGTGGGTTTTGTTAATCTTTTATTTAAAGCATTTTTCAAATTTCGAGTCAATATCTTTAAATCTTTGAAATAATTATTAAAAATAAATAAAAAATTGAAATTTAAAAACTAAAAATATTTCGCACTTATTTTACAAACACCCTGTATAATATAGAGATTAAAAAACGGAGGAACTAATGCATGCAAGCAAAATAATGTGGCATGTCACTACGATTTCAACAATTTGGAAGGATAGAAATAAAGTAGTCTCTATTCGTAAACAACTCATTGAAAATGAAGTGTGCGAGATCTTTTGAACATACTTAAAGATTTGTATTTCTCAATTTTTCTATAAAAATTTTAAATAAAATACATGTAATTGGTTATTACGTCTATTGGTTATAACAACCGTAAACAAATGGTCCCTTGAAGGTCGTTATAACCATTTTTCACTGTATTAGTTATTGCAAAAAAACTGCTAAAAATAATAATATGTAGTTCTTGGTAGATAGAATAAATGCATTTTTGTAAAATTACAAAACATTTTAATAGTTTTTCTAAAAATAAATTAATTTTTTTCAAGTTTCAATAAATCATACAGTAACGCACTTACGTGTCCCAACCTAGGCTTAAAATTTTCTTTAAGAAGTGTACTTTTTTATGCAAATTGTATGCGTATTGCAAAATTATTGGAAATATGCGAAAAATCAACTGAAACTTTGACTTCTTTTTTTAGATCATTTTCTTATTATTGAAATTTAATCGGAATGGCATTATTGCCATTTGAAAGCAAACGTTTTTTCACGAATTTAAAAAAAAAATGTCTTACGACCAACAGGAACCGAGAATTTTTTTTGCAAAAAATCGCTACGACCTTGTTTATTAATATTAAGGTCTGAAATTTACTCGTGTTGCAGTTGAATACTTTTACTTCAATATAAAAAATAGTCCACAATGATTGACCCACTCGTTTTACAATAAACTTAATTTTGTTGGGCCCCGTAAAATACTTGCTCCGCTCGATACATCGATGCGCATGGTGTGGGGAGAAAGACTACGGACTATTTTTTATATTGAAGTAAAAGTATTCGACTAGAACATTTGTAAATTTCAGACGTTAATATTAGTAGATGAGGTCGTAGCGATTTTTTGAAAAAAAAATTATTTTCTCGGCTTCTGTGGGTCGTAGGACAATTTTTTTTTAATTTGTGAAAGAGCGTCAGCTTTCAAATGGCAATAATTCCATTCCGATTATATTTCAACGATAAGAAAAAGATTTATCTACTCCAAAAAAGAAGTCAAAGTTTCGGTAGATTTTTCGCATATTTACAATTATTTTGTAATATGCGCATAATTTGCACAGGAAAGTACAACTTTTAGAGAAAGAGTTAAGCCCAAGATGGGTCACGTAAGTGCATTACTCTATGATTTATTGAAACTTGAAAATGTCTTTTTTTTTCAAAAAAACTAATTTTTGCAAAAATTATCAAATATTTTGCAATTTTACAAAAATGTACTTATTCTACTTGCCAAGGACTTACATATTCTGAAAGTTCGGTAAAAAAATCTTTTTTCGTTGCAAAGATATAGAAGTTTTAAAAACATGCTATTTTTAACCGTTTTTTGCAATGATGATAATACATTTGTTCATCAATTCACTTCGGGCAGGGCTCAAAACTTTTGTTATAAAAAGCTTTATAACGTTTGTCTAAAACATTTTTTTCTAAAATGTTTAGTTCTTTTTTTCAGAGGGCTCTATAGCAAATAGCCAACCACGAATACATTTTTATAGATTTTATTACACAGTTTGTCTAAATATAAAATTAATGCACAAATAACATACTTTCCTCCATTTTAACACAGATTTTCTATAAAATGGAATAAGTTTGATACTCAAATCACTTTTTGGTGTAAAGAAATTTGTAATTTACTTGTTCAAAAGCGGCAAATTACAAATTTCTTTATAACAAAAAGTAATTTAAGTTTCAAACTAAGTCCATTTCATAGAAGATATGCATTAGAATGGAGGAAAGTCTGTTATTTGTGCGTTAATTCATATTTAGAGACAAATTGTGTAATAAAATCAATAAAAATGTATTCCTGGTTGCCTATTTACTGTAGAGCCCTTTTAAATAAAACAACTGCTTTTTACGAACTTTGAACTCCATTTTGAAAGTAAAGCCCTAACATTCAGCTGGGGTGAAATAGTTCATTCAATTTTATGGAATTTTTCCTAATTTTTATGTGTAGACTAAATTTTGGCTTAAAAACAAGGTATTTTTGACAATTTAAAGGGCCTGTATGTCGATGCCCACAGCAACTGGACTAACGGTATTTTTGGGGATAAACCTGAATACACACAATGATGAATACAATGATACACTGAACCGACAGTCGAATCGGTCACAAAACGGAAAGTGTTGCATTTGTTTTGTTGGAACTATATCGACATAGAATAAAATAATGTAGCAAAAGACATAACCCGTATCTTTTTGTTTTTGCAATAATTAACTAGCAATTAAAAAATGATAAAAGTGATATGAACTAAGTAGACAACTGTAATGTCCTAACCTATGTCCTATTAGCGCCACCTGTTAGGAGGAAGCTCAATTAAAATACTCATACTACAGTGCTCTTTTTTTTTATTTAGTAAAAGAGAAGAGGGCTCTATAGCAAATAGGTAACCAGCAATACATTTTTATATATTCTATTACACAATTTGTCTAAATATGAATTAACACACAAATAACAGACTTTCCTCCATTCTAACGCAAATTTTCTACAAAACGGAGTTAGTTTGAAACTCAAATTACTTTTTGGTGCAAAGAAATTTGTAATTTAAGATTCAAATTACAAATTTCTTGTCAACAAAAAATAATTTGACTTTCAAACTAACTTCATTTTATAGAAAATCTCTGTTAAAATGGAGGAAAGTCTGTTATTTGTGTGTTAATTCATATTTAGACAAACTGTGTAATAAAGTCTATAAAAATGTATTGCTGGTTGCCTATTTGCTATAGCGTGCCATAAGTCGATGCGTAAGATTTGAATAAAACTCGAGTCACTGTTGGTCGACCATAAAAATTCATAAAGCTGGCGAGTCCGAAGTGCAACGGAATTTTTGTATTTCCAGGACCTATACGTTCAAGAGGCAGGAGAAAATCATCAACTTTTTCCAGAACTTCGACGACTGCATAGGCGAGGACGCGATGTGGAAGCTGTCGGAGAAGATAAAACCCCGCGGCGGTAAGAAAACCGCCCAGTAGCTGCTGATACAAAGCAATACCTAACGATTTTAGTGCAATTATTATTTGTTAAGCTAAATTGTACATTCTTTTAAGGTAGGTAATTTATTGTTGAGACGTTTGCAGCGCAGCATTTATTAGGCCGGCCGGACGAATTTTTTTGAAAATAACCCCTTTTCCGTAAGTAACAGTTTCCGGGCGTCTGGTAGGAAAAAGAAATCTAGATGTAGACAATGAAGTATTAGGCATCGAAATTTTACCTGCATTAAATTGAATTTCCTGATAGTTACCTTCTCGCCGGGAGGGCCTGCGTTACTTTGGAATTGTTTTAAACGTAATTTTAGCGGACCTACGACTATAATGTTGAAATAATTTGTGAGATTCTCTTGTTATATTTAGAGTCCTAAAGTTAGATGTATATTAACGGGAGATTAAAAGGAACCGGCTGAAGATAACGAAGGATATAAAAAAAAATACTCTTAAACGTCGTTGGTACTTCCCGTTTTTCCCAGCTTGTGTAATAAGACTGACTTCCTAGTATATTTTCAAAAATTTTAAACGTCTAAAGTATACAAGTGGATGAAACCGTTGCGGGAGGCATAAATTTATATTTTTTAAAAAAGAGAACTTCGCTCTTACTTTTGCCCGTTTCGGAACGGATGGTGCGCTTTAGGGACTAAGATGTACGTGCACTTCCTTCCGCATGTTTTCTTTCGCAAAGTGTTAGATAATAAAGTTAACATAGTACTATATGTGTACCGTTGGCTTTGTGCGAGTTCTGGAATCGCCCGACGGCGGCGATTCCAGGGTTTCGCCCGAGAGACGCCAAATTAAACTAGTTAAACATTTAAATATTAGAAGGCCTAACTAAAATTTAAGCCGAGTACGTTTAAATGAATCTTGCTGATGTAGACTGCTCCAGAACAACAAGACGTTTCCGTTGCGGTATTTTTTAGATGAATTTGTCACTGTCCAGTGTTTTGCGAGAATTATATTTTTTGAAACTTGATGCGGCGTTCCCGGCATATCGACTCCTAACTGGTAAGGCGTCGGGAACTTCGCGCTGTATGTTCTCATTTTTCGACTTGGTCAATGTCCATCAGAAAACAGCTACGAAAGTAAAAGGTTATGGTCGGGTTTACCATCGAAGGTGTTGAAAAATGTACCTTGCAATTTTTTCTGTTGTCAAAAAAAAGGTAAGTTTACTTTTTAAACCTGCTCAAATCAAATTAGGCCTCGGTTTTTTGTCGTTATTTTAATTAACAAATCGATATTTTCTGGGCCTTTTACGGCTAAAAAAGTATAACAACGAATCATCAACTGTGAATTTTTTTTTTATTTATGTACAGGATGTATCTTTACACGGGGCCATATTTATAAGGAAGCTACGTTTGACCTGATCTAACATAAGTTTATTTTCTGAAACTTTTTTCGTAATTTTTCGTACCTCGCCGCTGGACAGCCTCAAACAAACGAAGGCTAGCTGTGGCACACTCAATTGTTGTCGAGTATCATTTTTCTTGATTCGCTGACCAATTTTTTCATAATATACAGAATTGAGACTGAGATTCAGAAACTAAACACAGTGCTTTAAAAAAATAGTAACAAATACTGTTTTATTAAACACTTGAAATTATTTGAAGAAGCACTTCAAATCTATCATATTACGTTTTATAGATTTTATTACACAGTTTGCCTAAAAATGAATTAATGCACAAATAACAGACTTTCCTCCATTCTAACGCAGATTTTCTATAAAATTGAGTTATTTGGAACATCAAATTACTTTTTGTTATCAAGAAATTTGTAATTTGAATCGTAAATTACAAATTTCTTTGCACCAAAATGTAATTTAAGTTTCAAACCAACTCCATTTTATAGAAAAACTGCGTTCAAATGGAGGAAAGTCTATTATTTGTGCATTAATTCGTATTTAGACAAACTGTGTAGTAAAATCTATAAAAATCTATGTATTGCTGGTTGCGTATTTGCTGTAGAGCCCTCTAAAACTGAAAAAGCTGACTCCCGCTTAAAAATACACCCTGTATATATTTGCAAGCGACGAGGTATATTTTTTAATAACTTTCTAATGATTTCACGAATTACAAGAATTGTTTCTTCAGCCTCTCCGAGAGTCAATTAAGGGAGTTTAGGTGACTTTTCAACGGCAAGCTAACCGTAGGTTTTGTGGCAGAAATGTGCTATTTAACTTATGTTTTTGGTGGTCTGTACCGTACGGTGTTTTAATGTCGCGATACTTTAACAACGGGCGGAGGTTATTTATTAACAGACACAAAACATATCAGGAAAAAGACCATGGTACAATTGTTTCTACGAAATTAAAAGTATATTTTAAGAACAACGCGGAACAACAAGATAGTTCATTGCACATTTCTGTAATATCTGTGATGTTAAGTTTAAGCATTCATATTTTATTTATTACAGGCAATTTTTGAGTTTTATAAAGGAGATATTTATAATCGCCTCGTGCTAGTTGAGGCGAGGGTTTTAGCGTCAGGTTGTTTTAACGATGTACACTGTCTTGTTTATTTATTTTTTGAACTTTAGTTGTAGAATATCCCTCGCGGCTGTAAGCCTGGATTTAAATTTATGTGAAATTAATTTGAGAGATTAGGGCTAACTTGTACTTATTTTGTACTAAACGTGTATATAAAGATATATTTTATTTATACATTTAGAGTTGCGATTTGGCTTATTTTATTGTGCCATTCTGTACGTGTATCTAAAAGTTGATATTATTTATAGTTTTTGTATTAATTTAGCTTTAAAGGTAATATAGAGTATTTTCCTGTAATATTTATTAAAATATTTCTATCTCGGTCATTTAAGTTGTAAATAATTGTCTATATTTGTTTATATTCTACTTCCGTCACATATTATCCTTATTTTCCCTGAATAGTTATGCTTTTTACAGTATGTATGTTAGTGTGATATTGTATTTCTAAGTACCTAAATAAAAATGTGTGATAAAAAGGTCGTTTTTTTTTCAATTTTACGTTTTTAACATTCCACTGAAATTAATTTTGATATATGCAACTTGCATTACAATTTGGTGTATGTTGGGTTGCATAAGCAGACAATAACTAAACCGCCATCTGTTGGTTAAAAATTTAATATTCGAAGTGGTATTGCAGTTGTCTAACTAGAAAAAAATTAAACCTCGAAAATAATTAAGACTTCTGCGCTACAGGTGGCGTTACAAGTAACAAAATTGTAATAATTGCATTTTTATTGTGAATGGTCAATATGTCAATTAGCACAAATTTCATTGAATCAAAAAATTATTAGCATGAGGTGCAATTTCACTAAATTGTTACAAAATTAAATACTCGATTTGAAAGCGTGTCTTTACGTATTTGGGTCTGCTGAACACACGGGGATTGTCAGTTTCTGAGTAAGCCCTACTCTTAAGAAAAAATGTTCAATATCTCGAAAACTTGAAGAGGTAGACAAGAACAGACTGCAGTTTTGGATTCACCAGGCTGGTTATAGTCTAAAGAATTTTTTCACGTCTTTCTGAAGCTCAAAACATTTTGGGAAAAATCGATGGACTTTTATAGTCCATGAAAATGATCAAAAATTAGATTCTCGATTTGATGGTGCGTTTATACGTATTTAGGGCTGCAGAACACACGGGGATGGCCAGTTTTTGTGTAAGCCCTACCCTTAAGAAAAAATTTCCAATATCTCGAAAACTTGAAGACATAGAGAGAAACAGACTGCAGGTTTGGATTCGCCAGGCAGGCTATAGTCTAGAGAATATCTTTCGCGCTTTTCTGAAGCCCAAAACATTTTGGGAAAAATCGATGGACTATAATGAACCATGAAACATGAAAATTATCAAAAATTAAATTCTCGATTTGAGGGTGCGGTTATACGTATTTAGGGTTGCTGAACACACGGGGTTGGTCAGTTTTTGTGTAAGCCCTACCCTTAAGAAAAAATTTCCAATATCTCGTAAACTTGAAGACATAGAGAGAAACAGACTGCAGTTTTGGATTCACCAGGCTGGTTATAGTCTAAAGAATTTTTTCACGTCTTTCTGAAGCTCAAAACATTTTGCAGAAAATTGTAGCCAGTGAAAATATGTGAGAAATCGATACATACCTTATTTGCAACTTACGGGGGCTCCGTGTATAAAATTTAATATTCTGCTGCTTGTACGCATATTTTATCAAATATTTTTAGTTTCTATGATTTCCACGAGTAATTTTTAAGATTATGCTATCTGCTATTTGATTTGACAAGTGATATTAGAAAGTAGTTAGACACGAGCCTAATTCTGGACAATGCCTCCTAGATGGCAGAGATTGAAAACATTATTCAAATATTTCGCACATCCGCGCCATCTAGGAGACATGGACCTGAATTAACGTTGGGACTGACATTACAGTTACCTACCTGTCCATAGAATCCCTTATTGCGAGTAGTTATTAACAGCCAGTAGATGGCGCAGAACCGAAAAATGTAAATCATTTAAAAATTTTATTGGTGCGATTGGTAAATGAGTCTACAAGTAATACAGTGGAATACACTTTTATTTACGATCTAGTCGCTGTGAGCATTTTTGATACAATATATTACAATTGCGACCATCTTTTATCTTAACAGTACTTAACAGCTTTTAGGTTAACAAATAACATATTGATGGAGATGAAATATCGAAATACAATCATGTGTATTTTGATCTCTGACCTAAGGAATCCCCCGACTCCGCCAGTAGGGGTTCTGCAAAATTCTATACAACAACAAACACTTTTTGGATGAGGGAGATTCCTCATTCAGCACAAAAAATAACCCCTGGGACCGCGAGTCGCGGTTCTAAGTAGGATGCCGTATATAAAAAATTAGAAAAACAATGGATCCGTGGTCTAATGCAAAGGTTCACTGGCGCAACCCGCGGCACGGGGGGTGTGGTGCGCTGGCATCGATTTATCAGACGACTGAACACCATCTCTCTTTGTGGCACTGAATACAGAAGGCTAGAAAAAATTATCGGTTAAGCACTTATCGTACATTCGTTGTTTCATCAACCAACCGTTCCTCATCGAAATTTATTCTCCTGAAATTTTGAAACAAAAACACACTATGATTATTTCATAGAATTCCCAGAACACGAGGCGGAAAAATTTAAATATTTATAATGTTTTTTATTTTAATTTTGAGAAACGTAATACGAAGAAACAATAAAAATTCTCAAGGCTGTAAACGTTGCTAAAACTTCAAAAAAACTTATCTCGACGGATCATTGGTTGACGAATAATACCCACGAAACGAAACGGACACCTGAAAGAGTAATAATTGATTGCTACTATTGACATACATTTGTACATGGGAAATTTTATTAATCTTTTTCAACCACACGTCACTTAGACAGACTGGTGTTCATGTTCTGCAACTTGCGCCCCAATTATTGCCCACAAATGGGCTACTACTATACGATATTAACAAAGTGCGTCCAAAACGCAGTTGCACATAGAGTGTGGTTGGAAGCCGCTGTGCTCAGTGCTGGTTAACTGTCAAAATTATCGTGTTTTTATTTTTAAAAAAAGTTACATTACCCGTATTTACAATTTCAATTAAATTTCATTGACCCCCAAAGGACAACATTTATTACCTATCTAAGTTATTTGAGCATCGTGTGAATGAAAAGTGTTTCTGAGAGAGTGCGGAGAAAGGAATGTGGTCGTGACAAGAGGACGGATGATTTAGTATCTTAACAATTATAGAGAAATAACGTCGAACCTGAAGACAGATGCATATTGTAGCATTTTTTATTTCTTATCTGCTACGTGTCGAACAAAATTTGTATTTGGTACGATTGAATATCCTGGACGTAACACCACAACCTGCCAAAAATGAAGGAACGTCTTCCGCATGCAATTTTACTGAGGTACAAGGTGTTAAATTTCAAAAAAATAGTGTCAGCATCGAAATACAGGATAGAAGTAGATATGTGAGAAAACTTATTGAGGAACGAAGATGATGTTTTGAACATATTTTATGGTCATTTAAATAAATTCCACTTATACCCGAACTTATAATTTCTACGAATTATCCAGTCAAAATGTTCATAAAAATGTTCCTTTATTTTTGACAAATTGTAACGTTACACCGTGTATATTCAGCAGCTTTAAAGCTTTTTTAATTTTCCTTATGTGAGTTGAACAAGAAAGGCTATATCGGTTTAAATTTATTTTACTCAATTAAGAAACTGATTACACTGGAATTGTTAGTTTTCCCCTTAAGTGCCGTCATCGCTTAAAAAAAGCAAAAATCGAGAAACCGCAAAGAACCTGGACACTTACGAAGGAACAGATTTTACTGTGAAATTTGAGTATCGAGTACCTCGAAATAAATCTGAAGATGGAGTTATTCGAGAGGGTGGGTAAAGTGGATAAAAACAGTTGAAATGAGGATAAGGGCGCCCTTGACATTTTTCGTGGAACTTTGACAGTTAACCGATGTGAGTGAATTTATATTACGTAAATGATAGTGACTCGGCACCTTACGCACCGTCACTTACTCGTCAACTGCATTTGTATCAATATACATACAATATTATATATAAATATCTATCGCGAGTGGATATTATTTAAAAATAATGATATATCCTAATAACAATGTGTTGGCCTCGGCCTACTTATGTATTTTGAGTGCATATGCTACTGCAACCAATCATGCTACTTTCCTCCACAAAAATGCAAACGGCCGATTCGGAAGAACTGGGAAACTTCATCGAAACGTACGATTGTTCTAAAACAATAAAGCAAATAGTTAAGCCATATAGCAACGTGTTGCTGGAAGAGTTATAATAATAAGGTACCCTGTCCTGTTCTTGTCTGCCAAGGAAGATTTGTTATTTACCGGTTGCTTCGAATCGGCGTCTTGGAAATAAGGCAAAACGGCAACGTTGCAGTTGAGAATAATTTCGTTAAGCCTAAATATTATTTTATCAAGAAAAAACACAATAACTGTAAGGAAGACGTCATGACAATAATGCTTTTCGAAAACCAAAAATAATATGAATTATTTACTTTGGTGTTCTGGTTTTATAATGTACACTGGTACCAACCTATAGATACGGCAATTTGCCAGAAACTTGCTTGAGTTTTGTTTATATCCCTTGAAAAGAACTCCCCGTTAGTATAAAAATATTAGGTCCATTTCTGGCAAATTATCCTTACTGAAAAAGACAAATCTAGGAATATTACCAAATTAATCACAAAAATCACTGCAAGATAAATATTTAAAAGTGGTCTACATTAATGATTCGTATTACAGAAAAATATAAATTCTCCGTTACTGATTTTATTCAGTAAATAAAAGTTAGTAGTAACGACGGAATCGTGGCAATTATCTATAATATTCCTAGACATAACAAAAGATTTCAGTATTGTTTTTCCAATTACTGTGTTGCTTCACTGTTTTTTATATATTTTACACACATTTTTACGATCATAGTTTACTTTAGCCACAGACTAGTTTAGGTAACTAATTGTTTTACAACGTTTTTTCATATGCCAATATTAACACAAAACATTTTAGGTACACTCAACCTAAGGAGCACCTTGGTAACGCAGGGAACACCCCCGAATGTTACCAAAATATTCCTTTTCCGGTGTATACTCAGTTAAATTTTGCGACGTCCTTGTCTTGGGGTCTATGCGGTTACGAATAACGTCACGTATATTCGTAACAGCAGTCGGTTACGATACGATTACAAGTCCGTATAAGTATATATAGGAAGCCCGGTAACGAATTAAAATGATAGCAACATATAATAGGAATTTATAAATAACATTAATAGAATTATGCACTTTACAAACAACTTACAGCAAATCGTCAGGTGTTTCGCCAGTGTTCAAGGTCACTATGTCTCGGTGCAAGTACTAAATTGGATCTACCGTTATGATTCAAAACTAATTTCGTACAAACTGAATATAAATGGTCAAAATATATGATTTAAGTAAAGTTGCTGACTGCTACATAAAATTTTGCTTGTATACCTTAATCCCAGAAATATGTGTCAAAGTTTTAATCACATACTTAACTCGTCAAAAGCAGCAACTCGCTAAGCGTTTGCTAGCCTAAATCGTACTAACGGTTTCAATTTTTCTCAACATAACTAAACTAAGAGTTGTGAGGTGAAAAATTGAAAACGTCTATTTAAAAAACTAAGGTTTATGAAAAATATTATTAGCCAAATGTTGCTAGTTAAAGTTAAAAGTTAAATCCGTGGCTAATTTTCTAATTACTTATTTCATGTTCAAAACTACAATTCCTTACCTTGCCAGTCTATTAAATCTTTTACAAAAATTACTTACAACTTTAAATGTGATATATTCAATAAATTATACGTAATAATAAAGTGTAATTTTTGAACCATGTTATGTAAAAAAAGAAAGGAAAATGTTTGGAGCATATTAAAATTACTGTACCTGATTTGGGAGCAATTCACATTTTGTACGGATAATAAGTAAATTTCCCTGGAATCGAATATTTTGTGCAATATCCATTAAATTAAAATGTATAAAACGGACAAACCAAATTTCTAGGTTAAAAACTGAACGATAGATCAAATGTGACAAATCTTCTTCTTCTGTACATTGTTCACAACAATAGATTCGATTGTCGGATGAATACAATTTTAGGTTAGAAATTAAACGATAAAACAAATGTGACAAAACTTCTTCTGTACATTGTTCATAACAACAGAATCGATTGTCAGATGGATCAAAATTTTAGGTTAGGAAATTTTTACCTTTTTCTTCTTCGTCTTCTGATCAATCTAACTCGCAGCAAAATTGAATGATTAGAGATGTGTAATTAACTTCGTTTGAAATTTGTGGTTAAATATTTGTGAATGTTTCTACTGACGAACAAAATATATTTTACTTTATTCTGTTTTCAGTTTTAAGGACATTATGTTCCGATATTATCCCAAACCTGGCGAAAGGAAAGATACTGAGATAATATGAGCAGTAAGTTCTGTAATAAAAATTATTGTACGGCGAATTTAAAAACCGCGTTGTTCGAGATAGAACTTAGCTACTTTCAGTCTGGTTATCCCGCAATTAACAAGAATCGAGCGAAGATGGAATTTAACTGAGCATAGTTAACTACATATAGAACTACATACAAAGTATATTACTCCGAAAGACATTTTTTTAAAAAACAAGAAGAACGCCTGCAATTCGTCATTTTCCAAGGATAATAAAAGTAAAAGTAATGTTAATTGCACAAACGTCCACAAAACTAATGATGACACTATCGAAGTCCCCCTCAGTCAATAATTAGCACTAATAACAACTCGGTAAACGAAATGGCGATGGGCAAGTCCCCATCCGTCGCGATCACACTACAAAGCAAGGAAATTTTTTTAACTCGGCAGTAGATTTTTCACGCAATTCTTCTTCTACGCACCAGGAAGATTGGATATTCGTTGTAAAAATAAAATCTAGAGCACCCTTGATTAATTTCAGTAAAAAAGAAACGAATCTTTGAACGTCGATAGTTGGTATATATATATTCGGGTTTATGCTCTGTTGTGCGCATGTGCATCCTAAATATTATTGCAGTTGATCGAAGTGATTTTTTTAATTTTTAATCCAACGGAAAACCTATCGACGTACAAAATGTTACGATTTAAAAATTCAGTTTGTGTCATTTAGGTCACCAAAACTCCCAGGAAGTGTCACTGGTCCGCACGCGAACGCACGCACGACACACGAGTAACTGTTGACTATTTGTTGCGCACATACGTCGCACTAACATATATAACTTTAACCACGTTATTCTTTATTACTATTTATTGTTTAATGTTGAATTGTCGGCTTGTTAAAAATATTGATTATTTTTCGAGTGTCGCTTTTTTTTCAAGGTCTTTGACTGCACTTGTACCGAGGCCGCGGGCCACACGTGGCTCCTAGCCGTCAGCAATACAGAGCGTTGATTGTCCCATCCAACAACGGGGGCTTCCGTCTCTCGGAAAAATCTCTAGAAACTGCATTGATCCATGCCTCAAATCTCAAACGATGGTTTTAGGAGGGCTCTACAGCAAATAGCCAACCAGCAATACATTTTTATAGATTTTATTACACAGTTTTTCCAAATATGAATTAATGCACAAATAACAGACTTTTCCCCATTCTAACGCGGATTTTCTATAAAATGGAATTAGTTTGAAACTCAAATTACTTTTTGCTGGAAAGAAATTTGTAATTTACGATGCCAAAAGCGGCAAATTACAAATTTCTTTACAACAAAAAGCAATTCGAGTTTCAAATTAAGTCTATTTTGTAGAAAATCTATGTTAGAATGGGGGAAAGTCTGTTATTAATTCATATTTAGACAAACCGTGTAATGAAATCTATAAAAATGTAGTGCTGGTTGGCTATTTGCGATAGAGCCCTCTTAAGTTTAACTGAATTCGAAATTATTTGCTCCGTCCAGTCACTGACTATATTTTTTGTACGTGCTAGGTGTTTCGAAAAAAAATTCATAGACTGATACTGCGGAACACCAAAAATTAAGACTATACTTTTCTGCAGCTTGCCAGCCGATTTTTTATTTTAATCAAATTTTGGCCATATCTTTTTCGAAAAATAATTTATTGCATTGAAATTTGCTCCCTGTAAATTCTTTAGGATATTTTAGAAGATAACTTTATTTTTTGACACCCTGTGTGTCTGAAATGAGGTATTTCACGACTAAACTCGATAATCTACAAATAAGAAAGTCTCGATGGAAAATATACATTTAATGGTGTCGCTTTAATCTCAAGGTCATTGATTTGAGCCCCACGTTAGGCGCCAAAAATCATCTTTGACATCCCGTACCTTTAAAATAAAATATCCATTAAGAAAAATTTTCTTTGCATATTTTTAAGGGAATAAAAAGAATGTATTACCTTATTTCTCAAATTTTCTCCACGTCGAGCGTTCAAAACATTTCTAGTTACATTTTCCGAAGAGGGGGCCCCCTCGTGAGCTAGTATTGTAAAAATCGCCGCCGCCTGGGCGGTAATAATAGTAAATATGTAACATTAATAGGCCAACAAACATAGTCGCAGTGTACAACAGCTACGCGTTAAAAAATGAATTTCATTTCTACTTCATTGTGTGCCGTCGTGTAAACCCTGTTTGAGAAAATATTGCTGACAGCTGAAGAGACCACATGAGGCGACGTTTCGACAGCGGCGCGTGCCACCACCATCAGACGCTGTCGACGGAGGCGAATCGTTCGCCCAGCTCCTCGCAGAAGTGGAGCGGGGGCTGACGGGACGTCCCTGGGACGGCGGGGACGTGGATCGAGCGGTGGACGGCTCTGCGTCTGCGTCTCCTCCTCTTCCTGTGGCAGATGACGCACAGGAGGACCAGCGTCAGCATTATGGCGGCCAAGGCGCACACCCACGACATACGGATGCGCTCCCGTGGGGGCTCCTCCAGCTTGCCTGCAACAGAATTGGGGGGGGCTGTAGGGCAGCGGGCGAGGCGTCCACGGGACGAAGCTCTATCGATTGTTCTATTACTTCGAGCAATGTGTTTACGAATCGTATGCCTCAAACGTAACATGATTAACGTTTCAGAAGATGTACATGACTTGAACGCTCCAATTGTACGTAAAAATGTAGAGATTGAAGACCATTTTTTTCCTTTTTTGTTTATACTCCAAGTCTGATCTCGAAATTTCATGCCCTGAACTCAAAATTTATAATTTGAACTCGATATTTCAAGTCTGAGCTTGGAATATCGAATATTATGCACAAAAACTGGCGAACAAGTCATGTATACTGATCTATTGTGTAACATTTAACTACAAGAATGACTGCCGAGTGTAAAAACAATCGACAATTTCTACCGTAATGCAGATGAGAAACTAAAATGAGACGGAACTAATCCAGGCTAACGTGCAAATGAAGTGGTGAAAGGCAAATAAAGCCAGAAGAGATAGAGGCGGTGACTCGGCTAAAATAAAGAAAACTTAAAAACCGTCCCCAGAATAGACACCCTCAAGCCGTATAAAAAAAAATACGTATCGAGGTGCACAAGAAAATAATTCGATAATTTTATAGCGTCCAAAAAAAAAACATACTCGTCTCTATTGTACCCCTCCGAGACAACTTCAAACGTCCGTGTTTTAATAAATAACAATTAAAGTTACCGAGGCACGATACTGGTTGTTAGTCTGATGAATCGTAGCCGTAGACCGGCACCCGTTTGGCTTGAGGGGGTCGCGTTCTGGGACGTGGAAAAGTAGAAAACAGACTCACGTGAGCGTGAGGTTAGTAGGCATGCTGAGTTCAGTGGGGGCGTCACGCCAGCCTCAGCAGCGGCAGCGTCGCCAAGAACAGTGGTGGCAGGAGGTGCCGTAGGCTACGAGGCCGCCGTAGAGACGCGCGCGACACACCTGCACATACAACAAGACTTTTACGACCCTGCCACCACCTCACTCACAGATTAACGATTAACGTCCACATGGAAACTTGGATGTTCGAACGATTCGCCCGTTTGCCGTTTTGCGTAAGTTGCAATTTTCCTATTAACGGAACGCAACGTAATAGTTTTTTCACGTAACATTTTTTTAAAGTCTTTTGGGTATTAAATTATTTGAATCCTCAATTCGCAGTTTAATTGAAAAAATTGTAGCATCTGTGCAAGAATTGTTATTTTTTCGTAAATGTTGTTAAAAAATTCGTTTACCGAATAAAACTGGTATCACGGACTCTACGTTTGCCGTAAAAAATACTGGGGAAATAATTAAAGGAAAACTTTGTAGATACCCCAAGCGATAGCTTGTGTGAGCGATTCCAGAATTGGCAATTTAGAACATACTTTGGACAGATCTGGACTTATTAAGAGGTCATTTTTTTTAACTTTATCAGATATTTTGAAAAAAATTTGCTTTACCTAATTCTATCTTGCGTTAAGAGGAAAATTCTCAACTTAACAATGCCTCGTATACACGTAATCAGAATTATGTGCAACAGCATACGGGGTGTGTATTGTGAGTATTGAGCCTCGAAACACAAAATTTGTATAATTTTGTTTAGGACGTCGTCTTGTTTTCGGTTACTTCCGAGAACTTCCGCTTGGGAAGAAGTAAAATTTAAATTCCGTATCGCGATATTCAACGTGGAAATACTGAAAATTGTGGAAGGTACTCTATTTATTAGATTTCGAAATATTTTTCCGATGAAGAACACTCTTCATGTCACCTTTTTCTGGAAACATCGATTCTGCTGTTTGACGTTTCGTTTTTTTTATTTGCATCAACTTCATTTACTAAACTTGTTTTACATTCACCGATTTTTTACACAATAAAATGCTCAAGAAATGACACGAGTTATATCGGTACAAGTTGTTAAAAAAAATTATAGTAAATGGCGTAGTTTCAATAACCTAAATAAGAAAATGGGTACGATAGAACTACTTCTAATTTCGGTGAACGATTTTTATTCTAAAGGTTGACTCCCTCTGTGCTCTGTCCTCTCTGTGCCATTCAAATGGCTATAGTAGGAAGCGACCTGCTATATTGCAGGACTGCCACCCACAGAGGGTGAAACGCAATGTTTTAATTGCCAGTGTTGCGAGAAACAACTATTCTGCTGGCTATATGCCCCGACCGGCATTGAATTATACTTGCAACACCTAGTGCAACAGTTAGGATCGTTCGTGGGTTTAACCTACCAGGCACAGACCAGTTTCGGACTTATTAGTCCTCATCAGTGTGTCATAGGTGAGACAACCTACGAACGATCCAGCCGTGCAATGTATTTCCTTGTCGTGAGGATACGATCCAGCCGTTATGCGGCCGTATCCTTGTTTCTCCCAACACTGGCAATTAAAACATTGCCGAATTTGTTGTAGCGCGTAAAAGGTACCACAACCATCGTGTAAAACAAGTGTTAATCATTCTGTTTTTCAAAATACACATTTTTGTAGCACGCTTTATTAACGTGTACGTGTGGCGTTATAATTATGCTTGAGATACATTTTAGTCATCGTCAGGAGCTTTTTTGAATAAATAATACGAAATTTTTTGGTTTTAAGGATGAAAACACGTTTGGCCTCGGACTCTTGATGATGATGATGATGGCTGAAATAGAACCGAAACGTATCTAAACCGCAACGACTTACTACACACAATTAAAAATATGTATTTTAAAAGCCCTGTCGGCACAACACGCATTTCCATTAGAAAGTACAGGAAAACCAGATCGGAACAATGGTTTTTTGCTCTGGGTTCGACGGCAAGGAGAAAAAATAAAGTAGGGAGTCGATAAATTTGGTTTTTTTTCAAACGCTGCTATAACGACGCTACTTTATTCCTATTTGAACTGTGTTTATTATTTTCAATATTTCCATGATAGAATTACTATTTCAGATAAAGTGTATACGTTATATTAAATTTTTTTATTATTTCTCGAAACAACACACTTTTCAATCACACTCCGTATACGTTCGGTTTCCATGTTTCCGGTAATTGTTGACACTTTACTTAAAATACATCGGCTTCGTTTCAGCGACCGACCGACTCGTGGTGCTAAAACGAAGCTTATTGTCAAAGTGCATCGGAGAACAACTTGTGAGGCTAGGAAGACTGAGAGAGGACGGCGGAATCAACTCTTCAGCCGTCCGCGACCTCACCGTATTAGGTACAGACATAGAAATGCAAGCGTTGGACATCGAATCAAGGTATTATCGAATACGTTTTGTAAATTTCGACTTTTATAGATCTAAGTAATCGAAGGCTGGTATTTAACTAATAAAAAAAAGTTAACTGGTAAAAGCAAGATATTTGTCGAAAGGTTTGTAAAGGAAAGTTAAAACAAATCCGAAGCGTAAACGGGTAACGCTTCGCTTAAGAGGGCTCTGTAGCAAATAGGCAACCAGCAATACATTTTTATCGATTTTACTACACAGTTTGTCTAAATATGAATCACTGCACAAATAACAGACTTTCCCCCCTTTTAACGCAGATTTTCTATAAAATGGACTTGGTTTGAAACTCAAATTCCTTTTTGGTGTAAAGAAATTTGTAATTTAAGATGCAAATTACAAATTTCTTTACGACAAAAAGTAATTTGAGCTTCAAACTAACACCATTTTATAGAAAAACTGTGTTAGAATGGAGGAAAGTCTGTTATTTGTGCATTGATTCATATTTAGACAAACCGTGTAATAAAATCCATAAAAATGTATTGCTGGTTGCCTATGTGCGACAGAGCCCTCTTAACATACAAACGACGAGAATCTGCGCCAACGAAACGTCATTACTTAAAAAAAAAAATTGAAAACGGTGTGACTATGAACATTACTCGGAACGAAAATGAGGGAATGACTCAACTATACTGAAAGAAAAACAATTGAAATTATTCACTTGTGGGGTGACATCCCGCATCTTTTGCGGTTTGAATACTAGAATTTTAGTACAATATCAACCGTTGCGTCACTCACAGTCCGCCTCGTCGGATTCGTCGCCGGCGCCGCAGTTGTTCATCTTGTTGCACCTCAGCTTGTCGGGGATGCAGAACCCCGTCTGCGAGCACTGGAACTCGTCGCAGCTCGGCCCCTCGATCACCTCCGTCCACACCGCCCTGAAGCCTTGCGCCCCCACCGCCTTGTCGGCGGTTATGAAGCTGGAGACAAAAAAAAAGGGACGCGTAAACTGAATTTTTCCAACGGATCGAGGCCAAATTACCTGAATCGCATCGTATTCGAGGTCGATATATACTGCCACTTCTCCGTGATCGGTTTCTCTCCGCACAGTTCTATCGGCGTCGACGTTAGGTCGTTCCACAGTCTGAGGACGGCTGCTGGACAGCCCCGACCTAGAACGTGAGTGTGATGATATTTAATAGGAAAATTTGATAAATTCAAGCGGCTAATTGAAAAAGAAAAGCAAAAAAATGGCAACTGACCACCTCGATCGCCTGATTTGAGTGCCCTTGATTATTTCTGTAATGTTAGAGCAATGAGGAATAAAAAGTCAGCGTAGAGTTAAGAATTAATAAGCTTGAAACAGGTATATGTCTGGTGGTTCAGCTGACAAATGATCCTAGTGGTTTACTAGATATTGCGAATGTAGTTGAATGCTGGTCGGGGCCATTAGTCAGCAGAGTAGTTGTTCCCCGCAGTATCAGATAGACAACTACTAAGCGTTTAATATACTGAAGGGAATATAATGGTTCATGTATTCAAAATTGCCCTTTGCCCTTAGAAAAAACATGCCACGCCTTTTAAATTGATTACAATCTAGTCTAATCTAAAGTGTCAGTTATAATCGAGAACAATTTCAAATCTTTTGCAAGAAATTACAATTTTTTTGGAAGAATTACTCGTAGATCATCATTTAAAACGGTATTAAAGGACATTGGCCCCAGTAGAGAGTCTTGGGGCACACCTGACACTGCTGCGATGGAATTTTAAATACTTTTTATCCCGTCTAGATGAGCATAAGAAATTTGTGGATTAAAGTAAAAAATAAGAAAGGTAATTTCCAAAATCACTCTTAAAATCACGTCATTAAACTATTCCCCCGTAATTGAAAAAATTCATACCCAGCGGTTCCCCTTCCACGGCGAACTTTTCGAACACCAGCAGGATCTTGTACTTCGGCCTGACGTTGACGTACCAGTTGCAGCTCTTCGAAGCCTGACTTTTAGACGGAGCGCCGTAGTCCTTCGGGAAGTTCGGACTGGTGATGACGCCGTAGTCCAGGCTGCTCACGTTGCCCCCGCAATCGCCGAAGATCGACTTGGCGTCCTCGAAGCTGTACCTCGCCTTGAAGCCGCTGAACACCCCCTCCGAGTCGGAGTGTAGGATGACCTTGAGACCCATGGCGCCGCGGTTGGACTCGATGGGACCCGGGGCCGTCATGTGGCAGTACCTGCCGATCATGGTCTCCGTGCCGTCGCGGTAGATGTTGTGGATCTCCACCCAGTCTTCCTGGCAAACCGTGGTGCTGGAAAATTGTTAAAAATTTGTAATGTCGCGGTGTTAGGTATGTCTGGAAGTCTCACCCGTAGAATCCGATGCTGCTGTTGGCGTTCTCGGCTCGTATCTTGAAGTTATCGAACACCAGTGAAACCTGCTCGTTATTCGTCGCCAGAAAGAGGTAGGTGCAGTTCGTGTCGCTGGGGTAGTTGGCGGGGTATCGCGGCGAATTGAACTCCCCCTTCTTCTTGCTGGTGCTCCTGTAGGTGAACGAGCAGGACCCGTCCGGGGCCGCCGTGCCCGGGATCCGATACTCTGGGGAAGGAATAAGATTTATTCCATATCGAGGGGAACGATGACGTATTTAGCGTAGTTTTGTTGTAAATACACTGATTTAATTGTATCTAAACGGACGTATTTCAAAACGATCGAAAAAATACAAACATGACATAGTTCCGGCAAATAGAATTATTGTTAAAAGGGGAAAGGACTTTATTGCTTCAAGCTTTACCTGTCTCGAACGTGTAGTTCGCCTTGAAACCCCTACCCATCAGTTCCCCGCTGCTGAAGACCATCACCAGCCTGGGTCCATCGGAAACCACAACGGATGGCTTCGTTTCTTCCCCGCACATCTCGTAGTCGAACTTGTCGTACGAGTCAGTGGTCTCTTGGCCGCGGAGATAGATCTTCAGGTAACCGTCAGAACAGCTGAGGGTGAAACAATGCCGTTACATATACACGTCTTTAGATAGATCTAATTGTTCATATACGTAGACTACATTAGTTTATAATAGTTGTGAACCTAGAAGACGGATATCCAGAAGTCGTATCGATGGACAACAGGCACACAAAAAAAAAGTTCAAAACCAAAAGACTCGCAAATCATTTCTGAAGGAATTCGATGCGCTGAACACAATCAAAACATATATTTTCGTAGTATTTTGAGACCTAGTACATTGCTATTAGTAAAAATTACACATGACCTCTATATTTCTCAAAAAAATCCAATATTTGGGTGAAAACTGGCTCAAATATGGGTCAAAACTGTTTTTTTCCTAAATTTTGTCAAAACTTATAATTTTCGTAGTATTTTGAGACGCTGAATACGATGCAATTAATAAAATTTACCGATGACCTGATATTTCTCAAAAAATCCAATATTTGAGTGAAAACTGGCCCAAATATGGGTCAAAACTGATTTTTTCCAAAATTTTGTCCAAATATATTATTTTCCTAGTATTTTCAGACGCTGAACACAATCAAAACATATATTTTCGTAGTATTTTGAGACCTAGTACATTGCTATTAGTAAAATTTACACATGACCTCTATATTTCTCAAAAAAATACAATATTTGGGTGAAACTGGCTCAAAGATGGGTCAAAACTGTTTTTTTTTCCTACATTTTGTCAAAACTTATAATTTTCGTAGTATTTTGAGATGCTGAATACGATGCAATTAATAAAATTTACCGATGACCTCTATATTTCTCAAAAAATCCAATATTTGAGTGAAAACTGGCCCAAATATTGGTCAAAACTGATTTTTTTCCAAAATTTTGTCCAAATATATTATTTTCCTAGTATTTTCAGACGCTGAACACAATCAAAACATATATTTTCGTAGTATTTTGAGACCTAGTACATTGCTATTAGTAAAATTTACACATGGCCTCTATATTTCTCAAAAAAAAAAACAATATTTGGGTGAAAACTGGCTCAAATAAGGGTCAAAACTGTTTTTTTCCTAAATTTTGTCAAAACATGTAATTTTCGTAGTATTTTGAGACGCTGAATACGATGCAATTAATAAAATTTACTCATGACCTCTATATTTCTCAAAAAATGCAATATTTGGGTAAAAACTGGCCCAAATATGGGTCAAAACTGATTTTTTCCAAAACTTTGTCCAAAGATATCATTTTTGTAGTATTTTGAGACGCTCAACACGATGAAATTTATAAAATTTACCCGCGACCTCTATATTTTTCAAAAAATCCAATATTTGGGTGAAAACTGGACCAAATATGGGCAAAACTGCTTTTTTTTCCAAAATTTTGTCCAAATACATATATCATTTTCGTAGTATTTTAAGACGCTGAACACGTTGAAATTAGTAAAATTTACCCATGACCTATATATCTCAGAAAATCCAATATTTGGGTGAAAACTGGCTCAAATATGGGTCAAAACTGTTTTTTTCCTAAATTTTGTCACAACATATGAATTTCGTAGTAATTTGAGACGCTGAACACGATGAAATTAGTAAAATTTACCCATGACCTCTATATTTTTCAAAAAATGCAATATTTGGGTGCAAATTGGCCCAAATATGGGTCAAAACTGATTTTTTCCAAAACTTTGTCCAAAAATATTATTTTCGTAGTATTTTGAGATGCTGAATACGAAGAAAATAATAAAATATACCCATGACCTCTATATTTCTCAAAAAATCCAATATTTGGGTGAAAACTGGCTCAAATATGGGTCAGAACTGATTTTTTCCAAAACTTTGTCCAAAAATATCATTTTCGTAGTAATTTGAGATGCCGAACACGATGAAATTAGTATAACCTCTATATTTCTAAAAAAATCCAATATTCTTCCAAAAAAAGTAGGAAGAGATCAGTTTTGACCCACATTTCCGCGTGTTCATGCAAAAATTTCACTTTTTTTCCGAAATTCATCGGCAAGTCATGAATTTTGACTAGGTATATGGTGTCCACCACATCGAATTCCTTAGGAAATGATATGTGGCTCTCTTGGATTTGGACAATTTTTTTGTGAGCCTGCATAATTAACCAAAGAAAAAAATATTAATTGGGAAAGAAATTCGTCATCCTCTTCAAACTTCAAAAAGCGACATCATCTATCACTTTTTTCCGGGATTCGATGCACCGGCTTTGTCCCCATTGTACGCCTAGCTGTGACAGAACGGCTAATACACAACGCATCCGTCAATTCGGCTCTGGATGCGGACTACATGAAGATGACAGCACTGTACGCGGAAAACGTACTTGGGCCGGCCGGCATTCCGAAGGGTTAATTAATGGTTCGGTTCAATCGGTCTACGGTTTGATGCATGTCGGCCTCGTGTGCAGCAGATATTCGACGGTAAACGGAAATACCTGTGAGTAATTGCGTCATGAACAAAAAGAGAAGAGGAATCGAATAGTGATCTTGCAAATTAAATTGGTTCTATCGAATTTGGTGAAAATCAGTCCAGGCAAATAAAAGATGTACGGGATGCAACAGCGACAAATCCTCAAATCTGCAGAAAACGTTAAAAACGAGAGTAACAAAGATTGGAGGTTGAATACAGTTTTTCTTCAATTACTTAAGATGCATTGAAGATAAAGATTTCAAATTTGGTACAGTGTATTTCCTTCACTTAAAAATTTGATCGAAATCTAACCAATAGTACCTATTGAATTATCTGAATTGATATAGCGTACTATAGATTATACAATCACTGTTACAGTCCGTACAATACATGTCGAGATAAATTCCAAGAACTATTGTAACAATTTACCGCGCCTATAGGAGGAGTTTGAGAAGTTTCAACTGTCAAAAAACAGTTCTGATAACAATCCAATGAGCTGAAAAATGTGATCGTACTCCAAATAAAGAAGAAATGTGGACATCGAAGTTAATATAATTCGAAGTTATTGGAAAATACCACCGACAACTTATTTATTAATATTATTTGCAGTAGGAGATATGGAGTGCGAAATCGGATAATCAACCTACTTAACGATGTTGGTAAAGTGCCCAAGTTTTCTCATCGACAAGGAGATGCGACAATCAGCAACTGAAAGGGGGCTATAGAAGTTATTAACAAAGTTTGTGTGAACGTCGCTGTATTGGGGAATATTCTGCACCTAATAAAAATATACGTCTAAACTGTGGGGGATTTATACGTCCATATATATCAGGGGCAGTTATTAACATTTTTAGGCTCGTTCAATGAATTCCACCAAATTTTCGATTAATTCGACAACTGTTTCAAGAAGAAAAATCCATTTCTAATCAGGTATTTTGGACATAATATCATTGGAAAGGCTTCGTAAATATTTCGATATTATAATTCCGCTTGTTTCGACCCTGGTGTGAATATATAGGGTGTCCCAAATTTGAATTGTGCGTCATTTTCATTCATTATGCAGGGTCACATGTTGCGGTTAGACAAAATGGAGCGTTATGACGGATGAGCGAGAGAAGATTGTGAAAATTCATTACAAATACGGAGAGTGTGTAGGTGAGACTGTTTATACAGTAGAGTTTGTGTCAAAACAAAAGTCTGCATCTCGTTACTGACGTCATGCGCCAATAAAACGAAACTAAGCTGGCTAACGACACACTATCATATTTACACTACAGTTTCGACAAATGTTTCAAGTAGAAATAGCCTCTTCGGATCTTTAGGTATTTGGGACAACGTGATACCATTGGAAACCGAGCTTTCGAAAATATTTCGGTAGTTAACATATATTTTATAATACAAAACAAATTTTTCTTTAAAAACTCACGTCAATGATCAGTTAACGTTTAAAACTCTTTGATATTTAACTTTTGGCTTGTTTTGATCGTGGTGTGAATAAAGTACAGTATGCCTAGGCACATGTAGTGACGTCACTAACGAGACAGACGAAATCGAGGCATACATGATGCATCATTAGATATAAAGGACAATGTGGTGACGCCACTAACGAGAACACTTTCTCAATCTTCAAACGAAATATTTATTTTGCCACAATATTTAAGGTTACGTCCACATTTCAACTGTACATACTTAAACTGACTTTTAAACAGATGTTAATGTGGAAATTCCACGTTTTGCGTCTTACGACCACGGCCACCTTGAATTGAATGTTTATGCAGTAGAGTTTGTGTCAAAACGAAAGTCTGTATCTCGTTACTGACGTCATGCACCAATAAAACGAAACTAAGCTGGATGAAGACACTATATCCATATCCACACCATGATTTCGGCAAATGTTTCAAATAGAAAAAGCCACTTCGGATCTTTAGGTATTTGGGACAACGTGATACCATTGGAAACTGAGGTTTCGAAAATATTTTTCTTTAAAAACTCACGTCCGTTGTCAGTTAACGTTTAAAACTTTTTGATATTTAAATTTTGGCTTGTTTTGACCGTAGTGTGAATAAAGTATGGTGTGCCTAGGCGCATGTGGTGACGTCACTAACGAGACAGACGAAATCAAGGCATGTATGCGTGATTAGATATAAAGGACAATGTGATGACGTCACTAACGAGAACGCATTCTCAAACTTCAAACGAGATATTTACTTTGGCACTTTCAAATTTAGACTCTACATACTTTTAAACCGACTTTTTAGCATACGTTTATGTGGAAATTTGTCCTCAGTTCGTTACTGACGTCATGTAACTAAGCTGGCTGTTACTACGGTGTCAAGAAATGTTTTAAGTAAAAAAAGTTCTCCCTTTAACCCTTTGAAAACCACTTCTTTAATTTATTTTAACACATTTTTCAAGCTGGAAAAATAACTTACTCTTTATTTGATCCTTTGAAAATATCGAACATGGCAAAATAAAAAAACTGAGGTCTTGAAAATATTTGGTGTTGAGATTTTAAGTAATACAAGTTTTCTAGAACCGTTGAACAAAAACTACCAATTTTTCAAAAGTTTAAAATAGAAAAAGCCACTTACTCTCCTTTCCGCCCCTTGGGTATTTCGAACAGGACGAATTCGAGGCGCACCCTCTCCAGGTGCTGCGCGTCCTGCATCCCGTAGATGAAGTACCTGCAGACTAGCTTCGGCATGTAGGGAAAGGGGTAGTTCGGGCTGAAGACGAACCCGCTGGACTCCCTTTTGCTCAGTATCTTCTGGTCGCACTCGGTGCCGCGGATGTGCTCTCCGTCGTTCTTACTTATGAAATCTGACGACAAAAAAAATTGTTACAATGTCACGCGTGATCGTCGTGAGTTGCGGTTCACCTAATTTTGTGAATGAGTTGGAAAACTCAAAAATGCCCTTAAAGCCTCTGTTCTGAGTATTGGCAGTGCGTGGAAGGGTGACGAATGTGACGAGAAGGGAAGATTCAGACGAGTAGATGACCAGGTTGCGCTGCTGGCCGCAGTAGGTCCCTATCACGGCGGAGGTGTTGTCCGGACCGTCGTATACTTTCACGAAGTCGAATGGACAGCTGCAACAGATCGTCGTTAACGCGAAGCTCCTCGCACCGAAGGATATCACTCACTGTGGTCCTCCAAAAAAGAGATCGAAGTCTCTGAATTCCAGTCGGATCCTCTCCCCGGAAGCCCCAAGGAATTGGTAGGAACAGTACAGTGCCTTCGGGTAGGAACCCGGGTAGGTCGGCGTTAGAATGAGTCCTGTGGGTCTGACGGCGCCTTTTACCAAAAAATTGCAAGGCCCACCACCGATCGGCGTACCAACCTCGTACTCCGCTGAGGAAGCGAAAATAATGATAAAAAAAAATCAATTACAAGGAGGAGGCAATATAGTTTGAAATAAAAAAAGTATATTTAAAAATAATCCAGGGAACTAGATCACTGGCGCATCATAGATTTAGAAATACGGAAGTTAATTTTAAACAACTAGAGTTATTAGTGACAATAGGTACTTGCCAATATCTCCACCACTGACTTGTGTACTAGCTCAGTAAAATTTGCCCATAATTAGTAAAGTTTCATCAATCTACAAACATCTTTAGATGGCTCTATAGCAAATAGGCAACCAGCAATACATTTTTATAGATTTTATTACACATTTTGTCTAAATATGAAGTAATACACGAATAACTGACTTTCCTCCATCCTAACGCAGATTTTCTATAAAATGGAGGTAGTTTGAAACTCAAATTACTTTTTGTTGTAAAGAAATTTGTAATTTGCATCGTAAATTACAAATTTCTTTACACCAAAAAGTAATTTGAGTTTCAAATTAATTCCATTCTATAGAAAATCTGCGTTAGAATGGAGGAAAGTCTATCATTTGTGCATTAATTCATATTTAGACAAACTTTGAAATAAGATATATAAAACTGTATTGCTGGTTGCCTATTTGCTATAGAGCCATCTTAAGAAATATGTATTTAAGTAAACGTGATCTACTTTTAAATTAATTTTAACACTCTGTATCTCGTGAACGAAGTATTTCTGGACGTATGTTTATACGGACTTTTTGTATCAGTTTGTGACGTAGACTCCTTTATTAAAGTTTGGCAGAGTATTTCGTTAATATCCTGTAACACTGACTGAAAGATTTTGAAACGCCGGCATTCAAACATTAATAAATTAATGTTGATACGCAAACTGTAACAGGTAAATATTAATTCGAACGTTCTAACAAAATTGTGAATGTACTATGCTGTCGTAGCTTGCGACGTTTTCTATTAGACACGCGGTATAACAAACAATAAAAAATGAACCGTTACACCACTGACGTCAATCCGTTGTTATTTAAAGCTAACCTTTAATGGCGGCACTAAATTTAGGCATCCGAAACGTTTACCCAAAAAGAAAAGGTAGAAAGTAAAAGTCGACTTTACGGCTTACCGCACGGTCTTTGCGTACAGAAACATGAAAATTTAATATGCTCTTCCCACATTCTATTCTCGGTCTAATCTTCATTAAATATTTAATTACGTTTTGGCAGACAAATTGATTGCTTATTTCAATTAGCTTGGCGCTCTTCGTTGGGCTTTGGATATTTTCGTTAACAACAAAGGAGCCTTTGATTCCATAAACTGTAATTAATTATGTGGCGGAGGGACGAAACGAATTAACGTCTTAAAAATGGCGAAGGGAATGTACAGGAAATGCCATACTCTAATTTTTTTTGTCCTCCGTGTCCAGTCGCGAATAAACATATACTTCTGTTATTTTCCCAGGACTAAGGGTCGTTCCATACATTTCCGCAAACGCTACGCCCAGTCTGATTCCATCCTCACCGCGACGCTCCCAATCCATCAACTGCGGACTTATTGTTGGCTGACCGCTAACAAATACCTTTCTATTTTCTCTATTTTCCCGGAGTCCCTATTAATCACCGAATAAATACATCAAACTTTCCGGCATAAGAAAATCCCCTTTGTCGAAAGACCTGCGGATGATTACGGAGCAATTCCGATCTCTTTGAATAGAATTGGTGCTAATTATTACGGATTTAGCCTTTCATTAAGTAGAATTGTTAAATACGCTGCGGTGAAGAGAGACAATTATTCGTCTTTATGAATGTGGTGCAGCAAGGAAGCATAGATGGATTCTAATTATCTTGTTTTTCGGTTAGTCTTGTGTGATTTTTCCAGTGAGATGGACACACCAGTGTAGAGGAAGATTTTTTGATATGTATATAAAATTCTTTTTCAAAACGTTCAAAAGAACATGAAACCCATAATTTTTTAACGTTTAAACATTATTCAAGTCCTTTAATAAGAAGCAAGAACTCGGAGATTAAAAAACATCTTTTTCGAAACGTTCAAAACAACATGAAACATAATTTTTTAACGTTTAAAATTTTTTCAAGTCCTTTAATAAGAAAGAACGCAGAAATTAAAAAAAAAACATCTTTTTCGAAACGTTCAAAACAACATGAAATAAAATTTGTGAACGTTTAAACGTTATTCAAGTCCTTTAACAAGAAGCAAGAACGCAAAACATCTTTTTCGAAACGTTTAAAACAACAGGAAACATAATTTTTTAATGTTTAGGAAATAACGCAGAAATTAAAAAAAAACTTTTTTTTCGAAACGTTCAAAACAACATGAAATAGAATTTTTAAACATTTAAACGTTATTCAAATCCTTTAACAAGCAAGAACGCAAAGATTAAAAAACATCTTTTTCGAAACGTTCAAAACAACACGAAACAGAATTTGTTAACGTTTAAACGTTATGCAAGACCTTTAATAAGAACCAAAAACGCAGGGATTAAAAAACATCTTTTTCGAACGTTCAAAACAACATACATTATTTTTTAACGTTTAAACATTATTCAACACCTTTAATAAGAAGCAAGAACGCAGAAATTAAAAAACATCATTTTTGAAACGTTCAAAACAACATGAACTATATTATTTTTTAATGTTTAAACATTATTCAATTCCTTTAATAAGAAGGACGCAGAAATTAAAAAACAACTTTTTTGAAACGTTCAAAACAACATGAAACTCAAAATTTTTTAACGTTTGAACAATTTTCAAATCCTTTAATAAGAAGAAAGAAAGCAGGTATTAAAAAACATCTTTTTCGAAACGTTCAAAACAACATCATGAAGTACATTATTTACGTTTAAACATTATTCGAGGACCTTTAATAAGAAGCAAGAACGCTGGAATTAAAAAACATCTCTTTCGAAACGTTCAAAACAACATGAAATACAGCATTTTTTAATGTTTAAACATTAGTCAAGACCTTTAATAAGAAGCAAGAAAGCAAAGATTAAAAAACACCCTTTTCGAAACGTTCAAATTACCATGAAATATTCTAATTTCGAACGTTCATAAATCTGTAAACTATATTTTTCGCGATGCCTGTTTTTGTTCAAAACGTTAAAAAAACACTATAGCTTTAAACTATAGGGACTTCATATAAATACCTGTTACAACGTTCAAAAGAGACGTTTAACTGTCTTTCGAGTTGCTTTAAAGCGACGAAAGGACGTAAAGTTATATATGTTTAAAAATATTTAAAGAAATCTTGTTTTAAACGTTCAAAATAGCATGCAATATCGAACGCTTGAAAGTTTGCATGATGTAAAAGCGACACAATTCCGCAGAACTTGAAACATTTATGTTCTAATCCTCCAAAAGAGGATAAAATGATGATCTTTTGAACGTTTTGACGTTATTCGCGTAAGAAAAGCAAGGCCTACTGTTACTATTCGCATTTTTTTAGTTGGATCCGAACGAAATTTTCCGGTAAACTAAAAGGAATTACATCCGTTCAAGAAAACACGACTGTTAAATGTACTCACAGTCATTAATAAATTGATATCTGCCGAGGAAGATGTCGCTGGTGGAGGCGTTCTTGTCGGTGTGGAAGGAGAGAGCGAGCGCCCTGTATAGCGAGACCCGCGCCCTGGGTGGGATCGGGCCGCAGTACCTCCCGCCGAAGGGGGTGTTCACTAGCTCAGCGGGGTCCGGCTGCAGCACCTCGGAATAGACGTCCATATACTCGTGGACACAACTACATAAACAATAGGGGGGTTAGGCATCCTCAGCTATGGAAGACATGAATTGGATATAGATTTGCCAGTATAAAAAAATTAGTACCCGTATACGAAAATATTACAAGTGACGAAATGATTTATTTGAGCCCCCGTGTCTACGGCACTGGAAATTCATTTTGTAATCCGTGAAAAGTTTTGTGATAAACGTTAGTTTTATTATTAAAAGAAAGCATTGTGTTTATTATTACGGCTGTCAGAGAGAGCCGCAATCCAATGGCGTGCCAAATTGGTCAACCGAGATATTCGTGAGCCGCCTTACTGTAGCTGAAATTATAGTAATACCTCCGAATTTTTTATAACTGCATCGATTTCTCTCAAAATTTAGAATTAGGCTTATCTTACCCCCCACTTCAAAACTTATATACGCGCTAGGTGTGCTTTTTGTTCTTAAGGGGTGAAAACTACCCCTTATTAAAAAAAAGAAAAAATACAAATTTAAGCATTTTATGTAATCAATCTTTTTTATTTGTGCAGTATGAGTAGTTTCATGTGCTATCTAACATGAAACTTAGTGTATCCCAAATTTTCAACCCGGATAAACCTTTAAAAACCACCCCTTTGGATGAAAATAATATAAAAAATTGTTTTCAACTTGAAACGTTTTAATCATGCATTTTTATCAAATTAAAATTGTTTCTTGATTAAAAAATCTTTTTTATCGATTGCAACTTTTAACCCTTGAAAAATACCCCTTCTTTCGAAAATAAAGTGAAAAAATATTATTGAAAGAGTAGAAACATTTTAAATGTGCATCGTATCCAATAAACATTTATTCCTTTATTATAATATAGTATAGTACTGGTTTATTCGAATATACACATACTAAATACGTATATATACAAAAAAGATCTAAATGCTTCAAAATTGTCGTTTGACCTAAATTTTCCTAAAATTATCACCTATACACGTGCTAATTTTTTTGACGATAACTTTCTTACTTTATAAGATTTTTAATCGCACAAAGACTCATTTTGCAGGAAAATGTAAGGGCTACGTGAACTGTTGAGTTGATATTTTTTAAGCCCTTCATTTTTAAGTTTGAAGGGTTTAAAGGGCTCGAAGAGGGTGGTTCTCTCATTCATATGATAACTTAAAATGGCGATATCTCGATTAATAGTAATTTTAGAGGAATACAAAATGAAGCAAAATCTTCAGCAAAAATAAAGCTAACTTTTTTTACTCCTGTATTTTTTTCGTACACCTTTTAATTTTTAAGTCACAGCGTAAAAATCGATTTTTTTTTCAGAAATTTGAAAAATTAACATTTTCAAAAATTAAGTTTTTTTTCGAAATCATGCTTTGTAAGTGAGCCAAAGACCCAGAACATATTCTTAGAACATAAATGAAGAAATCTGTAAATCGATTGCATTTAATTTTAATTCTGTCGCCAAAGGCACTGATTTGTTTATTAATTTTTTCTTAAAAAAATGAGACTATCATGTTATTTCGATCATATTTCCGTTAATTTTAATTCTAAAGACTTTTAAAATATCTCATTTTAAAGGTTTTTTCACAGTACTTTAAAAAAGGTGCAAATAGTTTTTTCCTAATATTTATGATTTTGGCGTTATTTAACGTAAACTGATTCCAATTTAGTTTTTAGCTAACATATAATAATGTTTAAAAATCCATAACTCGGTTTATATTGCAATTACAGAAAAACAAAATAATGCCATTAGATTTGTTTTTTTATTACCTTTCTTTTTGTTCATTGCAACTTTTTCGTTAAATCCAATGTTTCAGAGTTATTCGCAAAAAACTGTCCGAAAACAAGCACTTTTTCAGAAAAAATCAACATTTTCAATGACGAATTACTCGGAAAGTATTGTATTATCCAAAAAACTTTATATAACATTTGTTACTTAAAATTGACTCCTCTATCGATTCCAGTGGTTATTTTGGGCGTAAAAATTTCAAGACATCTCTCATCTCGTGAGTCAAAAATTTTAATAAGTAACTTTTCTATTTAAACAAATAAGTCAGGAAAACAGTTTTTTCACTTCCGTCAATTTTAGCGAAAAGTGACTCACAGACAATTTGTCTTTAACAAGTCTCATTTTGTAGATAATTTTATTACCTACAAGCTGTCTGCGAGTCACATTTCGCTAAAATTCATGGTTTTCCCTGCAAAGTGAAAGAACAGTTTTCCTCACTTATTTGTTTAAATAGAAAAGTTTGCTATTCAAATTTTTTGACTCACGAGATGAGAGATGTCTTGTATTATGTTCCTTTCGTCAATTTTGCAATAATAATATCGCAGATAGAAATTTTTCGAGTTTCTCTTTTTTTTTCGCTAATTTTCCTGGTCTAATAATTTTCCAACGACTACTTGATCCTTCTACCGTTAACGTGATTTAAAAAAAAATTATGAAACCTTTTTATATCCAATTCATGACCAAAATTTAACCAGAAAAACATCTTGGACAAATTAAGAACACGATCGTTTCTCCAGTTTATTACAGGACAGTATTACATTCGAGAATATTTTTACAGTAAGCCACCATTTTTTTTTAAATAGACATGCATCATTCAAATATACATGCAGAAATAATTTCCCATTGACAGATGCAATACAAGTTCGAAACGTACGAAACTAAAACCGAATAATATTAGAGCTTGACAATACCATTTCTGGTTTCGTACACTGAGACCTGTCAAAGAGAAACTTTAATTTACTCGGGAATACTGAAAATTGATTAGCCTCTATAAAAGTAAGACACAATTCCGTTGTCGAACGGATGGTAGCATTTATGAGCTAATTTCCAATTTATTTATGTACAGCTCTTGTATTAAATTCTGCTTTAAATGCAGATGCTTGGCTTTAAAGGACTACAAAACCAGACACGGTTAATACCGGGATTCCAGACAACTGTATTTAGTTTTGTCAATATTCATGATTTTCAGGGAACAAAACCTCGGCGAAACGAGTAATGCTGATGGGGTTTTTGCACAGTTACGTCCTCTGGAAGTTTTCGTATCACCTGCACAGAACGGCTTAAGGAAGTATATCGGGTTTATATGGCGAAGATGGACGGTGCGGCTCTTTTTTTGCCCATAACTGAGAAAAAAATGTAGAAATTGTGAAACTAAATTTTTCCATAGTATTAGTATTATCTTATTTAATCTTTATGTAAAACTAATGTAAGTTTTGAACATAATACAGCTGTATTAATTAGAAACAGAAACCAATAATTCTGTCTGACTTGAGGATTAATGTGGCAACGTCGCAATCAGCCGACAGCAAGGAGGGAATACATTTGAAAGACTTGATAAAAACGAAATTGATTTCAAACATATACATTTTTCCTAAATCTCATGTACATTATTATCAACAATAAATTATCCGCAACAGATGATTTTTTGTAATGTTTTTAAAAAAACTAGATTAATTAAGAAAGACTAGGAAGCTGTGATATATTTATTGGAATAAAAAATACAGTTGATAAATCCTTTTAATATACTTAGCGGTTTATAAAAACATCGTAATCATTACCCAGCAATATTTAGGGTTACATAAAGTTTTCTTGATTAATATAATTAGTAGGTAATACTTGAGATAAAAGCATTTGTACGGAATAACAAAGGAACATAAATATTTCTCAGCAAACTTTATATCTAAAAAATTAGTCATAGTTGCAAAACGTTTGTAACATTACTAAAATAGAGATTAAAAACACGAACAGTGAGTAATAATGTAATTTCTATCACAGAACCTTCAAAATTGCATCCAACATTTTCTTTGACTTGAACGAGCGATGGGCGCGAGTGTCATTTCATTTCTTTAGAACTAAATTAACATAATTCTTGTTGTTTTACCAGTTCACATGATTTACGAATTTTAAATAAAGGATACAAATCGTCGTGAGGATAATATTGTACATAGTTTACACACAATACATTTTTGGACGCGTACGCATTTTTACCCGAATTTGACGCGCAATATCTCCGATGTCCGAGGTCTGTAGGTTCGCATTGTGTGCAACTACTAGTCAATTATTAGCGCTGTTGCCACATCTACATAGTCTTTATGCGTTCATTAAATATAATTTAAAACAACTTAAACATTATATTTTTATGTTGTTAATTAATCAATATGTATGTTATGTGCATATGAGTAGATTTCTTTGCTATATAGATAATGTTTATCGCAAATAATTTCGTAAGAATTTAATTTTTTCAAATTGGCAGCGGGCTTTAGTCCTATAAGAAAAGCATATGACCCCCCCCTGCGCTCCTCACTCCCCTCGGACCCTGATATACCTCCTTAATTAGGAATTTTGGGAGAAGCATATAAATTAAAAATTCTCATTAAAATGCGTGCAAGCAATCGAGATCGAACGAATCTTTTTCACAACTAAAATAGCAAACCATAGAGAAATATATTTAAAATAGTGGGAAAACGAGACATTGCATGAAAATGTAATTTTAACATATTTCTCTTTTATTTGGTTGGTTCTCTCTAACGGAAAACTGAAGTGTGACAAAAATGTTTATACTGCTCCAAATTAAATTCACAAGTGAAGTTGAGGCTAGAGAAAAAGGTCCATTGGAATAAAATGAAAAAGATATTTAGGAAAGATTGTAAATAAAGTTGTGGAAAACCGATTTTCGATATTTTCGTTGTAAAATGCAGGTAAAAAATAACATAGTTTTCCGCAAAAATTGATAGAGTTTGCTTTCCCATTTGACTACCAAAAACAAACGATATATTTGTCCCCATTTCCGTTTTGATGTAGGTAAATACATAAAGTTTTCCCTTGACGCATGTTTTTCTTGTTTTTCCTCCTATTTCGTTGGTTTAGGGAAATTCCTAGTATTATTTCAGCATGAAAGGGAAATTTTATATCAGGTGTTTATATTGGTTTGGTAGTAGCGGATAATCCAAAGATTTCAATCGTCCCTCAAGCTCGCAAGCGTATAAACTAAATTTTTTATGTCCAATGTAAATATACAGAG